TGCAAAAGAGATAAGAGGTTTCAAAGGAGAACGTGGTGTAGTTCCAGCAGAGACAGCAGTTTCTTCCTGATCCTCTTCCTGTTAGCCTTTTAACTCAAGAAAATTGGTCTGGGTCTCATCGTACATGGAAGAAGAAAAAGACACATTGCGGCAAGACAGCGAAAGGAGGGCAAGTTGCGAGCAGAAGTACCACGGCAATGCACCACCACAGAGGAAGACTCAGATGAAGGCAGTAAAGGGTGGTCAGAAATCAAAAATAATATAAATTCTCCAATGTCACCGTCCCCATTGGAGAATCCTATCGGGCAACAAACTCTGCCTTGTTCTTACGTTCCCGTCGCCGGTGAATTCATACCAAAAATAAATCCCAAAATCCCCATTTTGCCCCCTTCGCTAACTACATATAATCTTGCTTCTTCTTCAATCCAGACAAACACAATGCAGCTCAAAAAACAAATGAAGAGAAGACAAAGAGGCCAGCAACAAGGCCTACGCAAATCGTCAATACAATCAGAGACAGCAGATTCAAAACAGGCCCCACAGAAAATCAAAAGTGTCACGAAATCAATAAGAAAAAAAGAAAAAAGCGAAAGAGCTCTGTCGACGAATTGAATGGGAACGTTGACAGATCTCTGATAAAACAACTCAACTCAGCTCCCACAGATCTCCTCTATTCAATAAAATGCCAAAACTAGAAACACGACCTGACAAAACAAAAAATAAATAAAACTTCGAATGATGGCTATGTCTATGATAATACTTATAGCATTCAATTATCAACACAGCCCTGAAAACCCTAATTCGCAATTTAACAAAAAATTGGGAAAAGAGGGGTTATCGTCTCGGGAAAAGAGCAAAGCACGAATCAATGCTCTGAAAACGAAATCATGTGAAATGGCAGGTGAAATTAAAAAAGAAAAAGGAAAGGGTTGTAAAAACCTGAGAGAAGAAGCGATCAGATCGATTGAGAGAAATGGGGAAAGTTAAATTTTGTTAGAAAGGGCACGTAATGCGAGGAAATCGGAAGAGAGACGGGTGGTTTAGCACCAATCTTGGCTTTGCCGACTCTTTTTTCCTTTTTTTTTCTATTTTTTGGCCAAATGAAAATAGCAGATCAAAATCATGAATCATGCTTCACATCATTATTCATACAAAAAAAAAATGACCTTTTTCTTTTTCTAAAGTAATGATAGTAGTTATTTTCTGAAAAAAAATCTGATAAAAAATTTCGAACACATGAATATAACATTGATGTAAAGTAAGGGTGAGAAAAAAATTTTATTTAAAAGTATAATGTTTAATTTAATTCAAATCGTTTTTTTATTTAATTTAAACTAAATATTGATATTAAATATATATTAAATTTAGATAAATTTAAAATTAAATAATAAATAATAAAAAAATTGAATCAAATAAAATTATATATTTTTATTAATTTATATATATTTTTTAAATTTTTATAAAATAAAATAAATATTTTGTATTTAAATTTATTTAAATATATTAAAAATTATATTAAAATAATATATAAAAATAATTAATTAATTAAAAATAATTAATTTAATCAACATGATAATTTTTTTTAATTTAATTTAAATTAAATTTTAAAAATTAATAATTTTATATATTATCTAAAAATCAAAACGAATTCGATTGATTAAAAGTTTAGTTAATTAATGTTTTTAACCGCAGTAAATACGGTAGTAAGTTGAGAAAATGAAACGGATTTATTAAAAAAAAAAAACACCGACGCTCCTCCTGCTAGTGCTATGAAACTTAGTGTTACCGTTTTCACGGTTGCGTGTCTCTGTCTCACTCATATGTAAATTTCCAAAACTGTCCCCAAATTACCAGAAAACGTCCACCATTTTTCTTCTCCGCACAGAAATTCGGATTTTCTTTCCTTTTTTTTTTGGAAAACGAAAAAATGAAAGAACAAGGTTGTCATGAATTTCCTAAAATGACCCTAGGGCTCTGACTCTTGTGATCTAGTGTTATCTAGTATTAGCCGTTAGATTCGAGGCAGGGGGTGGAGACCAGAAATTGCGTGGCTGAGATGGTGATTAGCAGGAAGTACAAACTAGAGAGACAAAACTGCTGGTCGCCGATCTTCTCACTCAGCAAAGATGTTCGCAACCCAGAAACGTGTGCAACTGTCTTCCAACTTCTAGCTTATGTCTCTGAAATCTTTGTCTTACCAAAATTGCCCTTTTGTACTTTTTTTTTTGACGAAATTTCATCTTTATCCGTAATAATTTTCTGGATAAATTAAATTTTTCATTCAGTTCAAACCGTTTCTAGATTTTAGAGTTTATCAAGTTTAATTTTTTAAGTTTTAACATGATTAGTGATCATACTTGTTTATCAGTTATCTGACAATGATTGGTTCAAAATGTTAGGTTTCAAATTATTGGTTTTTTCATTATTTTAAATTAATTTATAAATTAGGTGAAGATAATAAAAAATTTTATTTTTTGATAATAACACTAAAAGATTTTAGGTAATTCATGTAAATGTGAAGAACCCTTCATATAATAAAAAATTATACAACAAATCCAACTTAAAAAAAAAAAAAAATTTATAGTTAATAAACATTTTCATAATATAAAGTGCATTTGATTAGCATAGGACAGTAGATAAAAAAAATTTCCATTGAACTGAATATCCTATTTTTCATTGTATGATTGTATAAAATAATTTTTATACTTACTTAGAAAGTTAAATTACTAATATAATTCTACTTTTATGTGCTAAAATTTTATTATTTTGTTAAATTCTTATAAAATTTCATCAATTGAATCAATGTTAATTTGATTCGTGACATCAATTTAATTATTAATCTTATATATTCATGCAGATTTTTTAAAGGTTTATTGATTTACTTAGGGTTAAAATGGTCCTAAAGTGGTGAAAAAATATACAAATTTAATAATCACATTTATAAAATTAAAAATTAATATTTCATATATCATTGGTATAAATTTTCAAATTCACAAACAGTAAATGAAATAATTTTTTTAAATCATTATTATCTTTATTATAAGTGTAATTACGAGAACTTTTATTATTAGTTTTGTTTTAAACATTGAAAACTCATATCAAAGCTTGAGAGTAAATCATCTGAATAATAATTTCTTATATATCTCATATATTTAAGTAATGTATTCACATTTTATTTTACATCAACCATAATATTAATTGTATAACAACAAACGATCACCAAACATGATATGTCATTTTGAGAACTTAAGTAAAAAATGTGGAACATATTCATATTATTTTTTTATTTATCACATTCATAACTCAAATTTCATTCCTCAACATAGTGGTCAGATTCTCAAAGTTATAATGTGGGTTGAGATGGTTTCAAAGATAAAGGAAAAACAACTTCTAAATAGCACAACAATCCTATTTTGATCTTTGCTGGCATAGTTTTCAAAAGCTACAAAGGTAACACTTTTCCCTTTCTTTCATTTAAAATGTGTGTTATGTTGTATCAAGTGCTTATTTTATTAAATTTACGGTGCATTTGGTGCAAAAGAGTATGATAAGATAAGAAAAAATTATATTATAAATAGAATTAAATTAAATAATATCATCATTTTCTTATGTTTAATATGTATAATGATTAGGGTAGAATAATTTTATTTATTAGTCAAAATTATCATTCCTTAAAATTTATATAATTTAAATTATTGATATAATTTTTAATGATATAATAGGACATGTAAATTCAATTCATGAATTAATCCTTTTTACTTTAGAATGATTGAATCATTTTATGCTAAGAAGATGATTAATCCTCATTGCAATCATATCCCCTTTTTTTATATACAATTCAAACATAGTGTAGAATGATTATTATCCTATCTTATCTTGTCAATCATTCTTTACACCAAACATAGCCTTGAGTCATCTATAATATATAGGATGATAAATAAGACATGATGATAACTATCTTATACTATATTTGGAATATATCAAAAAAAACATATACGATTATAAAGAGGATTAATTATCCTCTTAGCATTTCAAAATGGAAAGGATTATTTTTAATCCATGGGATTGAACTTATGTGTCCTATTATATTCTTAAAAATTATATCAATAATTTAAATTATATAAATTTAATGAAAGATAATTTTGATCAATAAATAAATTATCATATCCTAATTCTTGTATATATCAAACACAAAATAGTATAACATTATTTAATCTAATATTAATCATAATATTTTTTTATTCTATCATATCATAATCTTATGTACTAAACACACTCTTAATATGTTAACTCACTCATGTTTATTTTAAATGAGTTCTTCCTATAATCTTTGTAACAAAAATATATGTGGGCTTTAATAAAATAGAAACAACACAACTTAAAATAAGGTATATCATCTTTATTTCTTTTATACTTATCCATTTCTAAAATTAAAATTCACTGCTACAAATTAAGCATAGACATGCAATTGATATTTTTATTGATAACTTATTTTTTTATTAACAATGTAAATAAATTTAGGAATGTAGATTTAACATAAGAATTTTAAATTATCTTTTTTTTTCATGTTATGTATTTTACATAAATTTTAAATAAATAACAAAATTACTATAATTACTTTAATTATTGGTTCTCGAACTTTTGTGGATAATGTAATAAAATTTAAGGATATAATAATTCATTGATTTAGAGTTTTTCAAATCCTCATTTAAGATTTTTATTTAGATATATATTTTAATCTTTAATTATTACATGCAAATAATAAACCTACGGCAAGGCGCAAGAATATTTCTAGTATAAAACAAAAAAGGACACAAAGTCCCTTTTAATTTCCTTTTTCTTTTTGTGCTGATCTTATTATTTCTCACCAAGCACAGGATTAAGCAGATATAAAAGCCCAACGGTCCAGGCCCAGGACGAAGCCCAAATAATGGAAACGAAACAAACCGTCCATTCCCTTTGATCAATACTAGCCTGAGAACAGTAACCGTTCGATACGTATTTCCAAAATCCCCATCCCTAAGTTTCTGCCCTGATCTTGACCTAGTCCGGTCCAAAACACCAAACCAAACGAAATAAAACAAATCAAAATCGAAACGTTTCTCTTTCCTTCTCGGTTTTGATCTCTCTTCAAAATATCCTTACAAGAAGTGAGGGAGAGGAAACCCTACAGATCTCTTTATCTTTCTTCACTCTAGGTTATTCCGCTTTGGCGAATGGAGAGGGAGCTGGTGGATTTGTTCGAGGCCGCCAAGAAAGCTGCTGATTTGGTTGCCTCCGATGCCGTTTCCTCCAACGGCCCTGAAGTTTCCAGATGCGTTGACGCCTTGAAACAGCTCAAGGCTTTCCCCGTCACTTACGATATTCTTGTTTCCACTCAGGTTTTTCACTTTCCCCAAATTAATATAATTGTTATTATTTTTTAAAATTCTGATGAACCAATAATCTCATATATAGATTTTAATTTGTCTCTGAGTTTATCTTTATTTTAATTTTGTGATTCTTTACGAAATATTCCAATTTCTTGGTAGGTTGAGAAATTAACTTTTTTTTTCTTTAAACGGAAGCAAATAACATATATATGTAGTGCCGGTTTAGAGAAGCTGATTTAATTGGTTTCGTTGGATTAATTCAAGTGTGAATAAACTATATTGGGTTAAATTATTCTTTTGATTTTGGACACACCCAGACGCACAAATTGGAGTTTGATAATGCTACTTTTTAGATTCTTAGGGCAGTTGAATTGCACATGCTTCAGTTACTAAATATAGGAATAGTTTAATGTAGGCAAAAGGTCAAAAGAGCCCTCAAACAAAAATTCGATAATCATTTAAGTCTCTGACATTTGATTGCAACCAAATCAAACTCTGAATTTTCTGTTTCAGATCAATTGAGCCTTTGACTAGTCGGAAATTGATGTTGATGGTTAACCAATTTTTATTTAATAAGGGCTCAATTGATGAAAATAGATGTTTGAGGGTTTAATTGATTGCAATAAAACGATAAGGGCTTGGATGATCATTGAATTTTTGTTCAAGGGCATTTTTGACGCTTTAGCCTTTAATGTGTTATGTTCTTGCCAAAGGAAGGCTCCCCTGTTTATAGTATGATTGTGACTACTGACTAGAAGAAATGATAGAGAAGTGGATGAGGCAATAACAAATATACATCTTTATTATTTTCCAAAATTGTGCTGTTTTCCTTTTGTTTCTCATATAATTACGAGTAAAGAGTTGAAAATCGTAAGGTATATCGAATACCTTCCTCATTTACCCTACCCTCAATCTATTTATTGTGTTGGTGGGAAAACATCTATCCATCACATTTTGTTTGTTCTTACTTTTCTTTCTCACTAAGTAAGGGAACACAGTGTCTCTCTCCTTCATTTTCAATACACCTTTTGTAGCATCCTGTTTTCTTCCCAATCAAGCATGTTAAAAAGCTTTTGCATTTCATGTATGAAAAACAACAGGCCATGTTCTTTAATTATTTTTCATGTGTAGATTTATCATGAAAAATGTGTTAGGTATCTTGTCATACTAACAATAGAAAGCCAATTTTGGTATATGATTGAGCCTTAAAATTCGCAGCTATTACCACTATCATTGTAGGTAGTTATAGTTTAATTCTATCTTCTTGAAGATGTTACCCAATGACAATGAAGGAGATCCTTGTAATTATAGTCAGATCTGATGATAGCTGTATAATAATGGTGGCAAATTCAACCTATTAGTGGGTCTTTACCTAGTCATTATCATCTGCTTCTTGATGTGGTTATATACTTAGCTACATGTATCCTAGTGAATGTTTATATTTCAGAAAAATTTTACTCCCATATATATTGCAGGTTGGAAAAAGGCTTCGACCTCTCACAAAACATCCTAGGGAGAAGATCCATACTGTGGCTTCTGACTTGCTTGAGTTATGGAAAAAAATTGTTATTGAAGAGACTACCAAGACTAAGAAAAATGGCACCACTAGTACTGTCAAGGTTGAGAAAATTCAGAAGCCCAGTGCTGTGAAGGCTGAAAAGCTCTCCAATACAGAAACCGTAAAGGTTGAGAAAACATCTAAAGGTGATTCAACAAAGCCCATCAAAGTTGAGAAAAAGGAAGCAAATGGAGATACTGCAATGGCTGAGAAGACACACCGAGGAGAGACTGGTAAGGTTGAAAAGGTTTATAATGATGAGAGACAAATGTCGAATGTGAAGAAACCATCACAGCCACCTGCTGGTCCTCCGAAGCTGACATCATTGGTCAAATGTAATGATCCTTTGCGTGACAAATTTCGGGAGATTCTTGTAGAAGCCTTGTCTAAAGTTCCCAGTGAGACTGATGAGGACATGTTGGATCAAGTGAATGCTTGTGATCCCATCCGGGTTGCTGTATCTGTAGAATCTGTGATGTTTGAGAAGATGGGTAAATCAAATGGCCCCCAGAAATTTAAGTACAGATCTATAATGTTCAACGTGAAGGATCCAAACAATCCAGATTTAAGGAGGAAGGTTCTTCTGGGAGAAGTGAAGCCGGATAGGCTTATTACTATGACCCCAGAGGAAATGGCCAGTGAGCAAAGGCAACGTGAAAATAAAGAAATAAAAGAAAGAGCTTTATTTGATTGTGAGCGTGGTGGTGCACCAAAGGCCACAACTGATCAATTTAAGTGTGGTCGTTGTGGTCAACGCAAGACCACATACTATCAAATGCAGACAAGGAGTGCAGATGAACCTATGACAACCTATGTAACGTGTGTAAACTGCAACAACCATTGGAAGTTCTGTTAGTGGAATCTGGAGATTCTTCATTCATTAGGGTTGATCATCTTGGAAACTTCATTCTGTTTGTCTTGAGTTTGTGGTCATTGACTTTAAAGTAATCTTTCGTTCATATTTATCTGCTATAGGGACTTTCTTAAGGATAACTAGGTATTAGAGGGATGATTGTTGCAAAATCATCACTCAGCTGTTTCACATCTTGTGGCAAAGATGAGCTTGGATGCAACCAGAGGCTTTGGCTATTTCTTTATGTCAGTCTCTGTTTGTCGAAGGCATTTCATGTGAAGTGCCTAATGCTTGTTCTTTTATCGTAGCCCCTTTAGATGATGTATTTGATTCGAAAGGGTAGGGAGGATGCTGGGAGTAGAATTAGGACTCTTTAATTTCTTAGTGCACCAACAACAATCCTATAAAGGCATGCTTTAATTTTTCCAATGGCTGTTATTTTTGTATCATTTCCGTGATTTTTTTTTCTTTTACATTATTTGATGGGATTTTGGTATGTGATTTGATCTTTTGGTCACCCTGGTACATCTATTCCAAAGTTTAAAAGAAGCTTTGTATAAAGAAGAAAAAGAATATTTGAGCTTCTGATATTTTGTTTGGTCTTATATGTGCGTAGGCAGTATAAAAGAGTTTGTATGAGAACAATGATTTGTATGGTTTAATCACGAGAGCTTAGTTGATAATTTCGTTTTGTTACCGATGGTATGATCGGTACGTTTTAGTTATATCAAAATATGGTATATTTAAAGATAAATTTTTGTATTGGATTTGATATAAGATGATACTAGTTGCTTTTATTAATTTTGATTTATTTTAATAGAATAATATATTTTTATTGATATATGAATATGAAATATATTTTATAATTTTTAACTTATATTTTGTTATGTAATTATTTTTAATTTAATAAAAATAAAAGTAATTAACAAAATAATTTTTTAACAGTTGAGTTTTTATTTTTTAGGTTAAATTTTTTAAAATTTATTTTTGTCTATTCGAAATTTATAATTTTATTTTTTCAAACTAAAGTTTACAGAGATTTTAGTTTTTTTAAGAAAATTATTATACTCTTTTTATAAAGTTTATTTTAATTAATATTTTTCATCTACTCAATTTTATTTTAATATTTATATGAAAACATTATTTATTTAAATATTATATGATCGGATTAAGTGTTTAAAAATATTATAAAAAAATTAATGATAATATTTTTTATATTTTAAAATTTATTTATTTAATTTGAATATATTACATTTTTATTTTATGGTTTATTAATAATATTATAATATATAAATTCACGTATTTTTATAAATATATTTGCATTAAATTAAAAATTTTGAAATAATTTATCATAATAATTGATATTGATATATATAATTTTTTAAAAAAATTAAAAAGTTATTCAAAACGATATTAATAACTTTGTTATGAGTCCCACCCAAGGCAAAAAGAATTGAAAGAAGATCTAAAGTCAAAACAGAGAGGAGCACCTTTGAATTTGAATTTCCAACAAGATCAGTTACTATAATGAGATATTATTATATTATATTATTTCATTTCAAAATGGCAAAACATTAAGAGAAGTAATGAAACACAAAAACCAAAACGAAAATCAAAAGCTCCGTAATTATACAGCTACTCAGAAGAATCTGATGGGGTTGGACTCTGCAATGTGTTTTCATCCACAGATTCCTCCTCCCAATCTGCAGCCCTTATTTCCTGAAAGATTGAATAATAAAAAATCAGAAAGAAATGAAATTATGGGTTCCAGTTTTACTCTCTTTACTTGTATTACTCAAAACAACTTACCAGGGACTGCACTTCATTAATCATCTTGCTACCCTGTTGTCTCTCCCTCAGTGATTTTATTGGAGATATCCTCTGAATTCAAAATCAATGCCAACAATGAATTGAACAAGTCAATCTGGTTTAGTTTGTAAGAATAAATAAGTTAAAAACTCTCCCAGGTTGCTTTAGTTTAGTAATTACCATGCAATAAGATTTGAGCTCCTTTAATCTGAACAATCTATCAACCTCCATTTCGAGCTGTTTCTGAATCTGCCCTCTTTCTTCCATCTCCTTCATTTGCAAATGCAGCGTAGCCTCCCTCTTTTTCAACATCTTCTCTGTCTTCTCCTTATCCAACTTCAGCCGCTCCATCTTCTTCCTAATGGCGCTCAGCTCCTCCGCCAACGACGAATCCAAATCCAACGCCGCCTCCATCTTCTTCGTGGGTGTAGCAAACATGGTCATAGGTATGGGATGGTGTGTCTGGTTCTCCTTGTCGGAATCGTCCACCCAAAATTCTTGTTTGGGCTTTGACTTTATTTGCTTCACTACCACATTGTCATTGCTGGTGGCCGTGTTCTTTGGCTGGAGAGGTTTGCGTCCGCTGAGATGAAACTGAGCCGTCGCCATTCTTAGAGATTTGGGATTCTGGAGAGACAAGGACAAATCGGAAAGATAAGAAAAGGAAAGGGCGAGAGACAGAGATAAAATAAAAGAGTGTTTGAATTTGAACAGATGCAGGCGCTAACGGCTATTACTTTATAAAAATAATTGAATTAATAGGATACCGTAATGCTAGTCACTGACCAGCATGGACCACCACTTCTTGTAAGGATTATGACAAATGCTATTCAGTGTATTGCTTCATTGCCATTTCATTTTTCAGATTCAATCAAAACCATGTATTCCTCAAATTGAACATATGTTATATTATATACTTTTATGTTGTATGACTATCCTTGGGTTTCAGGTGTTCCATTCCATTCTGCAACAAATTGTGCAAAATGACTCCAACAATACAATAATACCACTATTTTTCCTTGTCTGCACTAGCTTTGAGAAGAAAGTTAACAGAGAACATTACAATAACCATGTGAGGAATGGCTTCAATTTTCAATTTCACATAATCTACATATGAAAGAAAGCTAGAAAAGGATCAAGCATGGGGACCTAAACCTAGTCACAAGTAATCCATTGGAAATTCCCAATCATCATCTGCTTCCCTCATCTTTGAACCTGAATTCTGGCCCCTTCAAGTTCTCCAACCATCACTAAACCAGACACGCCCTTCATCATCAGCATATTCTGTGTGCTCATCTATGGAAATACCAGCATTCTTGGCATCCCAGAAACCCTGGCATAAGCAGGTCTGAGATTTTAATAATGGCAGGATTTAAATTATAGATAAAAAAGAAAAATATTGGCAAACATGTCTGACGGCAACATTTTCACCGTAAGCAGATGTCAGCTTCTCTAACCATATGAGAAAACTTATTAGTCAACTTAGTGTGTTAAACCAAGTTTGAGTTACCGGCACATATCAAACACATACAGAATCAAATGTCAAAAAAATATATATATTGTCATTGACAAGCAGGTAGCATTGCCTATCTCCAAATGATCCCTAGAACTGAGAAGTAGTTATGAAAAAAGATCTCAAAAGAATTAGGAAGTAATCCATAGATCATAACAATGTGCACTTATTGGTATAAACATGGTAATCATATGAGATGTTGATACACTACTATATATGGAAGAAACATTGTCCCAAGAGTAGAAAAGATGTGTGCTTGTCAACCAGACTCAGGAAAAGTTGCTTGTTTGTCACAATAGAAGATTCTAGTTAAGATTGGAGGGGCTAGATTAAGCTTTTTTCTAAGTGCATGTACATGGAAATAATGTTGCATAAAGGTGGTGTTGCTGAGTTAAACTGAGCCCAATAGGCATGCATCTCTACTAACATACATTCAAAATGACAAAGGTTACTTTCAAACTTCATCACTGGATCCAAAACAGAAATTCGCAAGCAAGTACTTTCAAATAGAAACTCAGTGACAAGTAAGATGCCTTTGTCAACCTCTGTATGCGTGAGGCTGCAGCTTCATGAACAACTACTATGTCAGCAATAACTTCCAGCACATCTTCAACAACCAATGCATAAGTGCTCACCTGGAATCATAATCTGGTTATGACAGTAGAAATACTGGTAATCTACATTCTTATACGACTTGATATTAACTACATAAAAAAAAAAAAAGGCATTAAGACTACCAAACTTGATGGAATGATGGATATCCCAAAAAGAATCCAGCTCAAGAGATTTAACAGCCCCTGAATTAATGTTGAAAGTATAACCTCGCACCTACAATCATATGAGATATATGATAAGATAATTATAAAGCAAACTGAAATAAGCAGCAAGTTTCTAGTGCATAAAGTGCACACTCACCTTCCCAATGTTTCGATGTCCTGGTGTTACAACTCTGTATCCTACCTAGGAAACATAAAAAATTGAGCTTTAAAAAATAAAAACTAAGATATAATATAAAGAAAAAGCCAATTCCTAATAGCCATAACAAAAGGGAAATTTTGATATCTTATGGGAATTTAGTACATCAGCTTCACTCATATATCAATAAACTATGGAAAAATACGAATTATCACTTAAAAAATCAATTTGTGCAAAATTTCAAATTTAGTGAAAATAAAAACTAGTTGACTCCGAGACATGGAAAGATTTCTAGTTTTCTGTTTAATTTCCATAGATGACAGAACCATGACATTTTTCAACAGTCAATGGTTGCAATCTATAAGAACTAAAATCCAACTTGCAATTCAAGTCTACGTTCTAAAACAACTAAAAGTTGCAAGCTGAACCAATAAAATTTCACTTCAAATGAACAACTAGATGTCATCTCTTAATCATACCAAATATGAGTCAATTTCTTACGATGAAACCCATGGCAGAATATTAGCACAAAGCACTCTATGCTATACAAGAAAACTTTAATATAATAAAGAGGGAAGAATAATCAAGAAAGTTATAGATCACAAATGATGAGATTTACATTCAAACAGAGGAAGCAAGACAGGTAAGGAACACCACCTACCAGAGTCTCATGTCTAAGCATTTTAAAATCATTCTCCATCACTCTCTCATCTTCAACAAGCACAACATCACCAACCCTTGAAAGAAAAAGGAAAAAAAATTACATACTATCAGAAAAAGAAAACTGTTATGAATAAAATTACATGCAAGGAAGTTAATTGAAATAGTGGTGAAGGCTAGCATAGTCCCTGACTTAGAGACACACACTCTATCATGGTTAACCGCAAATTTATACAGACATCAGACATGAACCACAGACTGGAATGTGGTTACCAGTATTTAAATCCAAATATGAAAAACATATTAATCCATTAGCTTGTCGAAATCTTGTAGAAGAAACCTTTCTGATTCCCCAGTAAGCAAGGTTGGCCTCAACTCCACAACCAACACCAGCCACTAAAAAATTAACAATACAATATGTATTAACAACTTGCCCAAATAACCTAGGTTCACTTTTGGTTGTAACTTTTGCTACATACTTTTGTTTCTCTAAAAATCAACAAGGCAAAGAGTAAAAAGCAAAATTATGTTTGTTTAAAATAAACAATTGGCTAAATTCAAAACATTTTCAAACATAATTGTTCCATATAGAAACAAAATCATACATTTTGGTATTCAAAAAGTTAAAGTTTCAATTTTAACTGTGCAAAAAATTAGTACTTGCTTTTTTATCCAGTAAAGCTTTTTGCTTTATACCTATGGAATCAAAACGTGAATAGTAAAAGACACAACCGAACTCAGCCGTAAAGATTCTCGTAGTAATGAAATATTTCCTGGATATACAATGAAACCCAAAATTCCAAATTCAGCTGCAAATTGGCAATAAAACACAATAACATGCAATAATAATAAAAATGTGGAGAGCAAAGTACTGGCTGAAGTGGTATCCACCCATAATCGAGACAGAAAGCCTAAGCTTTTGAGCAGATTGGATACTTATCACTTACTTTGCCACCATATTTGAACTCTTCATCACTTGCCTCCTCCTCCTTCCCATTTTTACCAATTCATCCCCACTTTTTCCACTCCCATTCTCACCCTTCAATTCCTCGTTACTAATTTTCTCCAAGCTAGCATCGCTGCGACGTCGTCGGAGCTCCAATTCATTGTCCCCTTTGTCTTCAAACTCCAAGTGACTATAACCCTCTCCCTCTGAGCCTGACCTTGGAGATGGTGTTGCTTCCATATTGCATTAAATAAGTTGTAATCTGCCATTGTTTGTAATAATTGGGAAATGGGTACCTGGAATTTGTTAGTTATTAAGTGTTGAATTTCCAAGTTTAAAAAGGGATCCTGAGTAAAGGAATAAATAATATATTAATATTTATAAGTTATTTAAATTTGTAGCTAAAATTTAAATTTAAATTAATTATTATTTAGTAAAATTTAATTGGAATAGTTAAATTTTTTTATTTGAGTAATTCCAATTAAAGTTTTTAAATTTTAATATATCTTATTATTTTAATTAAAAATATTATTTTATTTATATATATTAATTTGAGATTGAGTATAAATACATAATCAAATTTAAAATTAAATATAAAAGTCAAATTAATTTTTATTAAATGAATTCAAAAAATTTATTTATTTTATTTAAAATCAAATTTAAATTTAAAAATTAAAATTTAATTGAAACACTAAATTCAAATTGAATTGAAAATTTTTGTTACATCAACTTGATTCAATAGCATGCAGTAACACATGCTCAAACTTTCTTGTTAGAGCTATATGGATTTCAAATTGAGGGCCAAATTTAGGGATGAGAAAAAAAAAATAAAAATCTTAAAATTAATCCAAAATTGTAATATTTGATTAAGTTTGAATGATTTTTTTTATTTAATTCAAATTAAATTCGAATATTAAATATATATGTTAAATTTGGATTAAATTTTAAATTAAGAAGTAAAAAATTAAGAAAAATTAAATGAATCAAATTATATATATTTAAATTTTTATATTTATTTTAAACTTTTATAAAATAAAATTAATAAATTTATATCAAAATTTATTTAAATATATTAAAATTTTATATTAAAATAATATATAAAAATTAATAAATTAATAAATTAAATCGAATTAAATCAATAAAATTTAATTTAATTTAATTTAAATCTAATAAAATTTTTATTTGAATTTAAATCAAAATTTAAAATTTTATAACATTATATAATATTTAAAAAAATCTAATCAAATTTAATCCGATATTAAACCCATGGCGCATAAGGCATCATGCTTTTTTTTCCGTAGGTCCTAATCTCTTTTTGACCAAAAAAAAATGTAAAGGGCATTCTCGTAATTTGAGAATGTGATTTTCTCACGGTAGGCTGCCTGCCAACTCAAAAAGGAAAAAAAAGCATAATTTCCGCCATGCCAATCCATCTCGAATAAAAATCGGAATAGCAGCATATTCGAATTGGGTCAAAGTAGATTTTTTTTTCCCTTAAAAGAAAGCGACCTAATCGATCAACCATTATAAATAAGCCAAGTGAACGTTCAATGCATTCATATTATTAAATTAAACAAAAAACAAGAACAGAATTAGCGGAGGGTTGTTATTGTTTTATATAGTGGCGGCGTCGCGTTGCTTCATCTCTGAAGCATTCGTTTCGTAGAAGAAACCAAAGAAAGCAGTTCCCTTACGCTTCACCATCCCTTCTTCCGTCTTCTCCCTGCCCTCGTTCCCTTCCCAGGTATTTCTTTTCTCTTTTCACTTCAACCTTGCCTTTATCTCTTTCTGCTCTTTCTTTTTACATGTTACTTGTTGCACAAACAAACGTGTATGATGGATCACGGCGTCCTTATTGTTAGATGACCTTGAATATTGTATTTGGTTTTGGGTTTGATGGTTTTTTTTCATTGTTATAATACAACTAACAAGTTGTTAGCTTTGTTTGAGAATATTTTCAAGTAGTCAAATTTCTGCATGCGTTTGTTCTTCCTTAATCTTTATCATGTTTCTGTTCATTAATCATCTTTAGATTTCTTTAAGCTCACGTTTAAAAAAAAAAAAAGCCAACAATTTTTTTGGCTTTGGAAAATCCTTGTAAACGTCAATTTTACAAATTTAGTCGTTTTTCCTATTTTATTGATCATATTTAGAGTAAAAGTAGGGACTTCAAATCGTAAATATTTTCCAGAACAAAACGGGTGTTAAAGTTTTCAATTTGGTTTCAAGGCTAATCCAAAAGAAAAAAAAAAAAAAAACCCCCACCTTGTTATATGGTTGGCCTATGAACTTTCAACTTTTGAATTCAGTTTACATGCTAAACTTCTTCTTTTGATCTTGGTAATTTTCTCTTTAAAAGTTTTGATTTTCTGCTTTACCCATAATTCATCATTAATGAAACAAGATCAAATTTTGAATTGTTTCCAATTTTTTTAGTTGAATCAATTTCTTGATTATCGTTGTTATGTTAGAAAAGTAAGATCATTTTATTTTTCTGTTTCTAATTTTAGGATCTTTTTGTGAACTTTGAATGGTAGATTTGATTGCATGCTCTTCATGAATTCAAGAACCACTGGATCATCCACTGTTTCCTGTGAATCGGGAAACAAGAACAACTTCTTCTTCTGGATCTTGTTCTGCTTGCTTCCAAAGTTTCTTGGAACTCCTATCACATACGTCAGCTTTATATTGATCAAGGCCATTGATAGGAGTTCTGCAGTAGTGCACATTTAGGAGACTTTGAGAGGGGGGGGTTGAGCCTTACTCATCAGTCGTGTTTCAGTTAGCCAATTTGCCTCTTTGATGATATGGTTTCCTCACAGTTAACTGGTTTGACCAAGGGTCGTACATGTAAAACATTTGATCCTAAGTTCCTGTTTCCTCCTCTAGGAGCTGTTGCACCCGAGCAGGTTGAGTTAGATTTCTCCGATGTGTTCGGCCCCCTACCAGTTCAGGCTTCAATAGAAGTCAACTGTGGTGAACTAGACAGCACCGTTTCTGCTGCAGGTGCAAGTGAGCTCATTTATGATGAACCAGCTATTGTTTACAGCCGCTCACATTCTTTGTTCGGCCCCTCTTCTTGTGTCAGTCAATCCTTGAAGCTAAGCAAACTCACTTTACGTGAGACGGGGGATTCAGTGGATATAATAGAGTGTGTTAAGGAAGAAACCATCAACGAAGTTGAGGAGCACTCTTTTGGAGATGGTGGTGATGAGAAGTCCCCTAGAGATGTTAATGGAGATCACTCGAAGGTTGGGAGCATAGGCATTGAGGATTTTGAGGTTTTGAAGGTTGTTGGGCAGGGTGCATTTGGAAAAGTATATCAGGTTAGGAAAAAGGGCACACCAGAAATTTATGCAATGAAGGTCATGCGCAAGGACAAGATAATGGAGAAGAATCATGCCGAGTACATGAAAGCTGAGAGGGATATTTTAACAAAAGTTGATCATCCTTTCATTGTCCAGCTCAAATACTCATTCCAAGTAATTTCTAGCTCTTCCATGAATCTAATCTTTAGAAATTTATTTGTAAATGCTTTTAACATGCATTTAAGGAATTATAATTTGCTCATGCCTTATAGCTAACGATTTTTATCGAAAATATTCCTTTGCAGACCAAATATAGGCTGTACCTTGTTCTGGATTTCATTAACGGGGGCCACCTTTTCTTTCAGCTTTATCACCATGGTCTTTTCAGGTATTACTATTTTTCTTGTATTTTATTGTTATAAGGTGGCCAACAAATAGTTGATGTAAGTTTCATTTATTTTTCAGAGAGGATCTGGCTCGTCTCTACACTGCTGAGATTGTTTCTGCAGTGTCGCACCTTCATGCAAATGGCATAATGCACAGGGATCTTAAGCCTGAAAATATTCTTTTGGACGCTGATGGCTATGTATTCATTTCTCCCTCTTTATCTATATATCTTTGTTTGTGTCTGCTGTAACAGGAGTAAATTAAAAATAATCATTTTACCATTTTTTTTTGTAGGCAATGTTGACTGATTTTGGCCTGGCTAAGCAATTTGACGAAAATACAAGATCAAACTCATTGTGTGGAACAGTGGAATATATGTCACCTGAAATAATTACTGGGAAGGGACATGATAAGGCTGCTGACTGGTGGAGTGTTGGGATTTTATTATATGAAATGCTTACTGGAAAGGTAGGTGCTTTCATCATTTGCTGCTTTCTTGTCTTTGTATCAAATGTCACTTTGTTGGATGTTCAAATACTTCCTTTGATTTGTTACTTACCAGTTTATTATTTGCTCTTTCATAGCTTTTGTTTCTATATGCAAATTTTGGTAGACTGGGTTTTTGTGGATCCTTAATGTTGACATTAATGAACAAATTTATCTAATCATGATGAATTTCATAAAGAAACTGGTAGCATGGACATACAGTTTATTTACTTGATTTCTGTATTTGATGATGAAATGGTCTTCGGTATGAATCTGCATAATGTCGGTGCCTATATTAGGAATTTACTTGATTTTGTAGATAAGCATATCAAGCATAGAGAATGACATAGGAATGACAGCAAAGAGCAAGCACTGGGTCAGACAGAAGGTCTATGGAGTGTGATATCCTTGGTTGACAACTGAAAGCATAACTTATCTTTGAAAATGGGTAGCCATGCTTTGCTCAAGATAAAGACATCATATGACTTTGTAACATCTATGTATGACCTCTTAGGCCTGTCATATAGAACTGCAAGTCTCTTAAAGAACTTATCTCAATAACATAAAAAATATGTTTCTTTTTGCTGCTATTTCAACATTTTTTAGGTGCATTTTGTGAGGTTTCTATCTTGCTGTGATGGCAGTTTATGGGAATTAAACATTGATTTTTGTTGCTTTCTGTTCCTGCAGCCCCCTTTTATAGGTGGAAACAGGGAAAAAATTCAGCAAAAGATTGTTAAGGAGAGGATAAAGCTGCCCACCTTCCTTTCTGGTGAAGCACATTCTCTGTTGAAAGGGGTAAATATTCAAAACATTAATTTATGTTTCTCATTTCCTCCTCTCTGGGTTTTGAGTTCAACACGTTATTGCATCTTTCTGGTTGATTTCATGATGGTAAGTTAGGATGTTGGGAATCTCCTTCCATCCTCAATTCACATCATGAATGAATGTAAATACTCCAGTCTAGAACTGTGTCTTTTCTGTTTGATGATTGACCTGGCGTTCCTTGCTTGAAACAAAACATGAGTGGGTGATCCTGCTAACATTTTTGTTTTTTTTTTTTTTTTGGGGGGGGGGGGGGTTGGGGTGGGAACAAGGAGGTTTTCTTTTTTTTTTTTTTTTTTTGAGGAACTGATTACTGATAATTGGTTTTCTGCTGTTTTAGCTGCTACATAAAGATGTCAGCAAGCGCCTGGGAAGTGGACCAACCGGAAGTGAGGAAATTAAGCGACACAAGTGGTTCAAACCAATCAACTGGAAAAAACTAGAGGCGAGGGAAATCCAACCCTGTTTTCGTCCTGAAGTTGCTGGGAAGCATTGCATTGCCAACTTTGATAAGCAATGGACTAACATGCCAGTGTCGTTTTCTCCAGCTTCTAGCCCAAAGACCAATGTAAACCCTTTCACTGATTTTACTTACATAAGGCCTGTAACACCCTTTCCTTCAGAGTAGTTCCCTCTGTTACTGTGTTTCGGCTTGGACCACACGATTACGTGTTTGAAAAGATCTTTGCGTTTTGCTCACTTATAGCAAGCCTGAAATAGTATTTAGTTTGGAAGCCCATTTAGTACGTTTTTAATCAAACTGGTTTCAAATAAGGAAGAAGGCCAAGTGTTCTATATTTGCATTATGTTCTGTCCTCCATTTATAAATGTTAGTTACACTTGAGCATTTTAGCTCAACTACTATGTTCTGTCCTCGATTTAGAAACTTTAAGGTTGCTAACTTCACCACTTTCAAATGAGATTGTTTCCATCTGTTTTTCCAAAGATATGACAAACATATGAAAGGAGAACAGAACGATAGCATAACTGCTTAGCTGTAAGGCCATCTTTGTCTTTTTCTTTGATCAAGGGCCCGGTGCCAGTTAAAGTTAGCACCTTTTTGCTGACTGGAAATCAAGTCGGGGCTGTTTTGTATCCACATATATAGTGCTCGATGGATAAATCTATGAAAGACACGTGGAAAAAGACTAGCCTCTGGCCCTTCTGCAGTTCTGCTTAGCGCTGATGCTTCGATTTCAACTTGTTAAAAAACAACAGAGATAAAAACATAGGAGTTCACCTTTTGAAAAACCAGTATGGCTTCCCTGCTCTGTCCTACTTCAGCAAGAGTTCAGCAGAATCCTAAAATTCTTTGCTTCTCTCCTCTGAAGTTCATTTCCCAAGTTAATCTTTCTACTTTAACAAATCGTCTCAAATGTAACCCAGGAAGGTGTAATGCATTCTTTGGCAGCATCCCAGATGATTTGTTGGAGCGGTCTTTGTCTCAATTACCTGTCATGAAATCCGGGTTTGTTAGGTTTGAAACCGTTACGGGAGAATTAACAGAGGTGCAGAAGTGGGGTTTCATTGTTTTTGCAGGGCTTACATGGATATACTTGACTGCAAGGCCAGGTGTTCTTCTAGGTGCCATTGATGCTTACCTTCTTGCTCCTCTGCAACTAGGATTGGACAGCTTGACTGGTAGGAGGAGCTTGAAGAGGAGTGATTTTTTGGTTGGGGATAAGCTGGGAGAAGGGTCCTTTGGTATTGTTTATTCTGGTGTGATTGTTCCAAAGAATGTTTCTGTTGAAGAAAAAGTACCAAAAAGAGGAGGAAGAAAAGCGCTGGACATGGATGGTAGGTTTAAGGAGAAGGTCATTCTCAAGAAGGTAACTAACTGATCATTTAAATGCACTAGTCGGACAAATCATATTGATATTAAGCTTTCCTTCTCTCTACATTGGAATATAACTTCGATGCTATAAAAATATTTTGTAAAATTTTGTTCTTGGGAATCTGCAGGTTAAAGTTGGTGTCCAAGGGGCTGAAGAATGTGGAGATTATGAGGAATGGTTTAATTACAGGCTTTCAAGAGCAGCTCCTGAGACTTGTGCTGAGTTCCTAGGAAGTTTTGTTGCTGATAAAACAAATTCACAATTCATAAAGGGTGGGAAGTGGCTTGTTTGGAAATTTGAGGTACGATAGCCGGTTGTAAATATGCAAAATTCATCTAATCTCCTGTTCTTACTGGTTAATTCACTCTGAAATTTGTAATATAATGTAAGATTAAATCAACTCTATCTTTATCTATTTAAATGCATGAAGATTATTGCAGAGTTATCAGTTCATGTAAGGATTCTTGTTCTCGCATCATCAATCAGCACTAATTGTAAAGATGTCAATGTGACAGGGGGACCGAACACTTGCTGATTACATGAAAGAGCGCAGCTTCCCATTAAACATAGAGTCTGTCATGTTCGGACGTGTGTTGCAAGGAGTAGAATCTGTTAAACGAAATGCATTAATCATCAAGCAAATAATGCGCCAGATTATTGCTTCGCTTAAAAAAATTCACGACACAGGTATTGTTCATCGTGATGTAAAGCCAGCCAACCTAGTGGTGACGAAACGAGGACAGATTAAACTGATAGATTTTGGGGCAGCAACTGACCTTCGCATTGGCAAGAACTATGTACCCAACCGTGGGCTCCTTGATCCTGACTATTGTCCTCCAGAGCTGTATGTCCTACCAGAGGAAACACCAAGTCCTCCTCCAGAGCCAATTGCTGCTTTTCTTTCTCCGATTTTATGGCAGGTATCGTTTCTCTGTTGTTTCGTTTGTATTAAAATACTACTGCTTCTGTGAGTTGCATATGCTTGAAGTGCCTTTCAAAGTGCTAAGTTAGTGGAAAGTGTAATCATTGTTGCAGCTGAACAGTCCTGATCTATTTGATATGTATTCCGTTGGCATTGTACTCCTACAAATGGCAATACCTTCCCTAAGGTCAACAGCATATTTAAAGAACTTCAATTCAGAATTGAAAGCAGTTCAATATGACTTGAACCAATGGAGGGAGAAAACCCGGTTAAGGCCCGATTTTACAATTTTGGATCTTGAGTCTGGTAGAGGATGGGACCTAGCAACAAAGTTGATTTCAGAAAGAGGTTTCCTTAGAAGGGGGCGTTTATCTGCTGCTGCTGCTCTGAGGCATCCTTACTTTTTGTTGGGTGGTGACCAGGCAGCTGCTGTTCTTTCAAAATTCAGCTTTAACTAGGCCAATGTGCTGCTGGCGGACTGAGTGAATCTTTGCCCTTTCGAGATCTTTCATTATATTTCTTTTGGTCCTTGCCAGCCTTTCCACAAGTTGCTCAATGTATGCAAAATGTACTTACGCATTCAACTTACCCTGGCAGCAATTACAGTTACATTCTTGATATAATTTTTAATAGCTGATTTGATATCACAAGTTACACATTTTCATTTTCAAAGGTGAAGGTCCTTTTTTGTCATTTTGATTTGAAATAGCTTGTTCTAGTTTTTGCAAAATTACTTCCCCAGTCAATGCCAAAACATGGTTATGATATGACCATGACGTACCGACCATATTATCCAATGTCATCTGGAGAATTGTTACACAAAGTCATACAATAGTTTTGGCATCAGTTGGGAATTACATTGGAACACAGAGAAAAGCATGTTAGAAGTAATCAGAAATGCAACAGCCAAACACTAGATTGCACTTCCTTGCTCCACCAGCTTAAAGCTAACCGATTTTAGGTTCTGATATAATTAATTACTGCTGGTAAGTGGTTGTAACCTTGAATCACTCATTCAATCCTGTGATTGGGAAATGGCAACATGATAAGTTGGGAACAAAGAGCCTGATAATCTATTTGAGTGAGAATTTCCGCGTGAAAGTGAAATAAACATTTCTTCCTATTTGCAACTAAATCTGCTAAAAGGTTACTGCTTAAGAATAGTGACAGCAAAAGAAAATTGCAATTAACATCCTAATTGGAAAAGCTAAATGAGTAAGAGAAGCAAATCTAAAAAGAATTGTGGTTCTACTGTGCTTGCTCTGAATCCAAACAAAATTACTAGGAATGCATGGTATTATATGGGAAAGAAAGGAACTACTATACTTACAGCCAAAAGAATTTCCTGTGTGTAAAGCTTACACACGATGTTTGAAGTCTGGAATGTGCATATAAGTTTACAGCAGGTATGGTATCCACGCTCTGATCCACATGGACTAGATATGCTGGAAAGAAATGCTTGGAACAGTTTGCAGATAGAGATAGAAAGTATTGATGGAATTAAGTAGTGTGATTAGCTGATATAATGTGAAAATCATGTTGTGGAGACCATTGCTGACATATTACAACTCCACAAAGATCTTATTTGTTCCTCGTTTTCTCTTTCATTTCTCATTTTGCATGTATAATAGCTGTTTGTTATCTATAATAACCATCATTAAATATGTTTGATCTTTCCTGGAAGGACCCTTCATCCATAAACAGTTTTACAGATCATCATGGTAGAGGAAAGCCTCCAAAGCATTTTTCTTCTTGCAACCCCAACGGCATCTCCAAGAACACATGGAGTTATAGATTGCGAGTCTTGTAGAATGAAGGGATATTAGGTTTGATGTTGAAGGAGACTTTGCAAGGACAATTGCATAGCCATCATCCATGTAGTCTGTCCCATCAGGGAACAGCTGCCACAAGAGGCTCCCAGCCCCACTCCCTCCTTTCTTTGTCGAGTTCAAGAGTGTTTTGTACACTGTGCTAATAAGAGTGTCTCGGAAAGATGAGTTGTAGCCAGGGTCTTTTGTAGAGACACCAAACTCAGCAAAGATTACAGGCATCCCTAGATATTTCTCAGCATCTTCTATGTGGGCTTCCATCCATGATGTTGTGAATTGGAGATGAGCATCAGAAATAGTTTGTGAAATCCTTCACAAATTAATTAAATCATCTATTAAGACACATGCATAACATGGAGAAGAGTAGACAATGAGCATAGGCAAAAAAGCATATTATGATGAAGAGACATGCGTATGCTGGAGTTTAATATGTTGCTAATGTTAACCCGCCTGATGAATTTGCTTAATGTATGTAATATATTATAGGAAGTATTAAATGTTTTACTATAGTTCCAAAACGAGTGATAGCTTTTACCAGGAATCTGCATAAATGTGAACAGATGCAAAATCAACTCCAAGAGCCTGATGGTTTCTTATAAAGTCAGTTCCAACTTGAGTTGCATACGAATTGGGGTTGAACTGAGTCCTTGACGGTGCTGAGGGGCCATAAAATCCTTCTAGTCCAATTTCAACCAAGTGCTTTGCATCCAGGCTCTTCACGTACGCAGCCATTTCTGCTATCCATGACTTGAAGATAATAACAACAGTAGAATTTAGTGGCTTATACACAAAGCTAATTTTATTTCACTAGTTTTTAGAAGAAAACCAAACCTGCAGCGTATCGCCAGAGGGATCTGAGGTGCATCGAGGTTCGTTCATCAGTTCCCAAGCGAAAATTGTAGGGTCATCCTTGTAAGTTATATTTGTGAATGTGTTGACTCTATTTAGCACTGCCTACATAGCCAAAAAAATTACAGAGATAAACAGAAATGTAATTACTGATGTAGGAGTTTGCAACATGCTGATATAATGTGCATGCAATAAGCTCCACTTTGTCAAACCATTGAGAATAGAGTTGATCAGCAAATTCAACAAACAACACTGTAACATATAGTTGAAAAGAACTTACCTTAACGTGGGCCTTGTAGTAACTTCTAAGAGTTGGATGAGAGAAGAATTCATCATCAGAAGTCAAGTTGAGGCCGGCAGCCTTCCCCCACTTGACATATTGTGCCTTGCCACCATATGCATCCCAGTTATTAACCAACGACAATATGAGCCTGATCTTGTACTTCTTTGCTTCACTCACCACAAAATCCAAGCCCTGCACTAATTTTCAAACAAAACCATATTATCTGATTCTGATGAATGCCATATGCCACTGGTTCAAAACCAAAATTCACAAAAAAATTGAACAGCAATGTCAACACTCAGAATGAAATTAGTACCTTGAATACTTCCTCATCATAAACTGACGGAGACTTCTGAAGGGCTCGCCACTGGCCATCATTAAAAGCCCAAGTCCTGCAAACAGTTAGTCCTACTGAAGATGCTTGTTGGAACAATTCAGAGACCTTTCCTCTCGTGGATTGATCAGCTGAAAATACCATCAGCCAGTAGGTATTGAATCCATTGACATAGAAAGGTTGACCATTAACAACAAACTGGTTCCCCTTCGTCTCCACCATTTGCCAGTCATCACCTTCCACGTCTTCCACATTATAAATCCTGAACAAAGTAAAATCACGAATACATTAGATGCAACTGTTGAAACTTGAAACTGATACTTGAACATCTGAAAATTCTTATAAAATTGTGTGCTCCACTGATTAGTTACCCGTGCCTTGTGCTAAATTGTGGTGAATAACTCATGGCTTCCTCCACCATGGTTTCAGTCTGCTCATTCCCATTAAAACCAAAGACATTGGTCCCCAAATTTTCGAAGAAAATAATAAAAAAGGCCAATGGAAGAATGAAGCATCTATTGCAAGTATCCATGGCAGTGAAAACTGACCCAGAAGCTGTACTTTGCATCTTCCGAGGATAACATATTTATACACGCATCGTGTAGTGTGCAACAATGTCTATCCAGATGTAATACTAATCTTTGTTCTTAATGCATGTCCGAAATCGCGAAACAAGAAGAGTAGGGAAGAGGGAATGATCTGTCTAGCTTTGACGCTAAGAAAAAAAATTCTTGCTTTGGTCTGGCATTCAGTCATTGCCTTCCCTTTGAAATGCAGATAGGGTAAGATGATAGGCTGATGGGGAAGACACTAGAAACTGAATTTGAAGGAAAAGGAACTTGGGCTATCTACGGTCTACAGCAACATATATCACTCCCAAGTTAAGTTTTTGAAGTGGGTCCAGACACCTGAGTTCAACAAAGTTTTAGTTGATAAGCGAACATCATAGCATTTCTTGGGATACAATCTAACTATAGTGTCCATCAATAAAACTTGCACTTGCAATATAAAGCAAGCAAGCAAACAGGAAAGAAAGAAAGAATTTGGCACTCACTCTGTGTGTGCAAATATGAGAAGTTGTTAGAAATGAAACTTTAGTTTCTGCAAAAGTACGTGAAAAGAGAGAGGAGAGCAACAATATGAGTAAAGTCAAGAAGAAAGGACTAGAGGATCATGAGAAAGTTGGTTTGTGAAGTGGGTTTCAGCTTACAATGATTGCAGCAGGTAACTGATACTGGATGGAATGGTTTATATTGCACTAATCCTTTTGTTTTTCATCTACAGTTTACAAAGCTAATTTATGTGTGTTTGGTTTTTAGATTTCATTTACGTGTTTGATCAAGAAAAAACAAAGAGTGAGGCTAATTTATGTCCTTTGTCAAGGATAGCAAGGAGGAAGAATCTATAACTAATAGATTAAAACTTAACACGGTGACATGTGGCAAGTTCATTGTTTGCCACGAGTCTTCTGTTTATTGTTTTTAATTTTTATTAATTTTTTAAAAAATTAATATGTTTTAAAATTAAAAAAATTTCAAAAAGATTATTTACTTAATTATAATTATAATAAAAATATAATAAGAGTTGAGTACAGAAAGAATGAAATGTTGTTTGCAATTATAATATCTTCAAATATTTTTATAAAAAAAAACTTCTAGATAATAAAAAAAATTCGTAAAAATATATTTAATTCATAAAAAAAGTCAACTTTTAAAATTTAAAACTAATATATATTAAATTTTACATAAAAAATATAACTAAAAATAATCAATTAAAAAATAACTTACATGAAAATCAATTAAAAAATCTCACAAAAATAATAAAAATTCTTTAAAATAATTATCATATCTAAAATTTAAATATTTTTTAAAAATATTTAAAAACAAATATATTTAATTAAAAAACTAAAAATATTAGATTTGATATTTTTATAGTAAGTTACAAAACAATTAACAATAATCAATCTACACAAACAACCATAAAAAACTCTAAATATAAGATTTTCAAAATTTTTTTAAAAAATAAAAAAAGATAACATTTTTAAAAATTTTTTTTATAAAAATTAAAAAATCCCTTTGTGAATATTCTATTTTTTATTAAAAAAATCATAAGTTACTGCAAAAAAAAAATTATAAATGATGAAATAAGAACAAATGTCAGCTCTTTTAATTATAAAAATCAGTTGTATTAATTTTTTTATAAAATTGCTTTACTTTTTAATTATAGGTAAATGCATTTTTGTTAGGTTCGCTTAGCGGGTGATTTAATGAAGTTGGTGAAAAAAATTAAATGGAGGACGGCTGTAAGTTGGCGGGGCCCACATCACCCCCTCCCATGTGCAGCTGTTTCCCAAAAGAAAAGAAAAAATAAAAATTAAAAGCTCTTTCTACTTTATTAGAAAATATAAATATAAAAGGAAAAACACGCGTTAACGCGTCGCCTACTTCATTCACGGGAATCGTCAATCTAGCTGTCATTCGATCATCAATAACCTCATCAGATACATGTTTAAGACATTGAAATGAAGGGTGTTTTTGTCCTTTCAACATACAACTGTATATGTCTTCCTCACAAAAAAAAAAAAAAAAACAATATTACAACCCCAACTGCTAATTCAACGTTAACGCAACAAACAAACCAATTAATTTTATGTTTTAGTTCGTCTAAAAGAGGTTGTCAAAGTTTAAGGGAAGCATGTTTCCAATAGTTTTGTTTTTTATTTGTGAGTTTTTATATCGTATTCACATTTGTTTATGCAATTTTAAAATAAATATGATAATTTGTGTTTTTATATGTATGAAATATTAATAATTTATATATTTATATTATAATTTGTATAAAAATTATATATTATAATTTGTGTTATATAATAATATAAAATATATATTTTTTAATTTTATTAAATTTATTTATAAATTTTATTAAAATTTTAAAATATATTATTTTTATATATTTTATTTGTATCAATTTTTTTATGTTTATATCAGTAAATTAGAATAGTTTGATTTTAAAGTAACGGTATTTTTATTTTTTTTAGATAAAAAAATTATTTGATTTATAAAGAAAAAAAATACTTAAATTAAATCAGCTCAGCTGGGTGTTGGAATTCAAACACAAAAGTAAACTACCGAGAAACCAAGGGCGGTTCATTCATTTTCTGCTGCTTTAACCTGCTTCCTTCTCTTTCTCTCCACCCAAACAAGCGAAGGCCTTGTATCTCTGTGTTGCAATCTTCTCCGATTTCACTCAGTGAGTTCCCTCTTGTCTTCTCTTGAGCTTCCTAAAGGTAAATGGCTTGAAAGTCTCTTCATTTTCTCGTCTTTTACACGCAACCTGTTTTTCTTTCTTGCATTCTTTCAGATTCATCTATCTTTCTTTGAGGTAGCTAGCTTGTTCTTTGGATCTGAAATCTTTATGCTTTTTTGGCTTTGGAATTCTGGGTTTCCTTTGGTTTTATCGTTCTTGTTTAAATATTAAGTCTTTTTCTGTCCCGGATCTCGCATTGTCAACTTCATGAGGAACCCAGCTCATCACTCCTTTCCTATGTCTGTTATCATTTTTGCCTCCTTGTTGTTTCAACTTGTCTTAGCTGCTGATTATGTACCAACTGAGAAAATTCTCTTAAATTGTGGTGAGAAATCTGATCTTACCGATAACAATAATCGGAAATGGACTCCGGATGTTGGGTCCAAGTTTCTGGTGGGAAGTGGGAATTCTGTTGCTGCCCAAGCTGCCACGCAAGATCCGGCGGTTCCTGAAGTTCCTTACTTGACAGCCCGGGTTTTTTTCTCAAGTTTCACCTATAGTTTCCCGGTAGTAGCTGGTCGGAAGTTTGTTAGGTTGTATTTCTATGCTAATTCGTATGATGGGCAAAATGCAACCAATGCTTTGTTTTCAGTCACCTCTGGTGCCTATACTCTGCTTAAGAATTTTAGTGCTGCTCAAACAAGTGAAGCTTTGAATTATGCCTTTATTATTAAGGAGTATTCCATCAATGTAGATGGTGACCATTTGAACTTGACATTTAGTCCTTCTACCGCTCCTTCAAATGCTTATGCCTTTGTCAACGGAATTGAGGTTTTGTCAATGCCTGATATTTATAGTAATACCAATGGGATAACGATTGTGGGTCAAAATACTCCATTCATCATTGATAACAGCACAGCACTCGAGAATGTTTACCGACTGAATGTGGGTGGAAATGATATCTCGCCTTCCGACGATACAGGTTTGTTTCGGTCTTGGTATGATGATCAGCCATACCTGTTTGGGGCAGCATTTGGAGTTACAGGAGTTGCTGATCCAAATGTCACGATTGATTATGGGACCATGCCTACTTATATTGCACCGAGCAATGTGTACACCACTGCTAGATCCATGGGGCGGAATGCTTACATAAACAGTAATTACAATTTGACCTGGATGTTCAGTGTTGACTCTGGATTCTCTTACTTGGTCAGGCTACATTTCTGTGAGTTTACAGATAACATCACTAAGATTAATCAGAGAGTGTTTGATGTCTTCCTCAACAATCAAACTGCTGAGCATGGGGTTGATGTGATTGCCCTGGCAAATGAACAAGTCGATGTTCCTGTGTATAGGGATTACGTGGTCATTTTTCCTGGAGGGAATTCACAGCAGAATCTATGGCTTGCATTGCATCCAGACACAAGTGCCAAGCCTCAGTATTATGATGCAATCTTAAATGGTGCGGAAATATTCAAGATAAGTGATCCTAAAAGCAACCTTGCAGGGCCCAATCCGACCCCTGGTCCACAACAGGATGTAGTCGATCCATCATTGGCTTTGCCATCTCATCGAAGTCATTCAAAGAACCTGAAGGCAATTGTCGCTGGAGTAGTCAGTGGTGGACTGGTTCTAGCTCTTGTTATTGGTTTCTGTGTTGTTGCTGCTTCACGTCGACGTAGGCATGGAAAGGAGACAAGCACAAGTGATGGCCCATCAGGATGGCTTCCTCTTTCGTTGTATGGAAATTCACACTCTGCAGGTTCAGCAAAGACAAATACCACAGGGAGCTATGCTTCCTCCCTTCCTTCAAACCTTTGCCGCCACTTCTCATTTTCTGAGATCAAGGCTGCTACAAACAATTTTGATGAGGCTTTACTCCTTGGGGTGGGAGGTTTTGGCAAAGTTTACAAGGGAGAAATTGATGGTGGGACAACTAAAGTTGCAATCAAGCGTGGCAACCCACTATCTGAGCAAGGTGTGCATGAGTTCCAAACTGAGATTGAAATGCTTTCTAAACTTCGCCACCGCCACCTTGTTTCATTGATTGGTTACTGTGAAGAGAACTGTGAAATGATTCTAGTTTATGATTATATGGCTCATGGGACATTGCGTGAACATCTGTACAAAACCCAAAAGCCTCCTCTTCCGTGGAATCAAAGGCTTGAAATTTGCATTGGGGCTGCTCGTGGCTTACACTATCTCCACACTGGAGCCAAACACACTATTATACACCGGGATGTGAAGACAACAAACATTCTTCTGGATGAGAAGTGGGTGGCAAAAGTTTCGGATTTTGGATTGTCAAAAACTGGCCCCACAGTGGATCATACTCATGTGAGCACTGTTGTGAAGGGTAGCTTTGGCTATTTGGATCCCGAGTATTTCAGACGCCAGCAGCTAACTGATAAGTCGGATGTTTACTCTTTTGGGGTCGTCCTCTTTGAGATCCTTTGTGCTCGTCCAGCATTGAACCCTACGCTGCCAAAGGAGCAAGTGAGCCTCGCAGAGTGGGCTGCACATTGTCACAAGAAAGGCATCCTTGATCAGATTATGGATCCTTATCTGAAAGGGAAGATAGCACCCGAATGCTTCAAAAAGTTTGCTGAGACTGCAATGAAGTGTGTGGCTGATCAGGGAATTGAGAGACCATCTATGGGTGATGTGCTGTGGAACCTGGAGTTTGCCTTGCAGCTACAGGAGAGTGCAGAAGAGAGTGGCAAGGGAATTGGTGGTATGGACATTGAGGAGGGGACCTATGAGGTAACCTATAAAGGCAAGAACTATCCTAATGCATCCCCTGGTTTTGATGGTAATGTGACAGATTCCAGGAGCAGTGGGATGAGTATGAGCATCGGTGGTCGCAGCCTAGCTAGTGAAGACTCTGATGGGTTAACACCTAGTGCTGTTTTCTCACAAATCATGAACCCTAAAGGGCGTTGAGATCAGAAGTGCAGAAGTGATTGTATTTGGCGAGAGCTTTAGCCAGAATCGGGCGAGCTAATACTCTTGCTGTTGTTAGCTGATCATGGAATCAAAAATTTGGCTGTCTTTGTGGTATTCATTTACTTACTATTATTATATATATATTTTTACCCCTTCACTACATACGTTTGGATCAAGTCAGTTGTTGTAATTTGTATCCAAAATTTCATGAAGAGTGTTAAAAATAAAATGTTGCAGTGTCGTTTGCATTTAACTGATTATGCTGATTATGACATATCCTTATTTCATGATACAAAACAACCATTCCATTGCTCCCATTTTGTTGATGGTTGAGAACAACGAGAAAAGAATACCAAGCAGCGTGGTGTGATCCGTGTGGGTGGGGTCCTTGTTAGTTTGGTGTTATGTGTAAACGTCCATTGTGCATGACAGTGACAAATTGATTGTGATCAGCTGGCAAAACGTGGGATAGAATTATTGGGATAGCTGTCTGTCTATATATGACTTTCTCTACGCGGCCATATGAATTCTTTGAATAATAGACCTGGGATGGATAGTCAGTCTATAATGTGGACATGGTCGTATCAAACTTTATATTATTTTGATAATGATGATGACGATGATGATGATGATAATGACGAATGCATCCAAGTGTCGAGCACAAAGGCCCAAAAGGGTGACAGCGGAGTTTGATCTTCAAACTAGGAAAAAAAAGTATTTACCATTAAATTACATTAAGATTATGAATTTTGGTCATATATATATATATATATATATGCGTGTATATATATATATACACACACACACACATTTGAGGTCACAACAACTTTTGCCAACAAACATCTCGTTTGTGATAATTTAACTATATGCCTTACTAAAATGTAGGATAGGAGTGCGAAACTGTATGAATATTTTGTTATAATATTTGCTTTTGATTGAACTTCAAATATATCATGTTATCTTTATTTATTATTTTCATTTCTAATTAGAAATAGTAATAACACCTGGATATGAAAACTAACTTTTTTGCATTTCAGATGAAAGTATTGTGCTTTGAAACAGAACCAGGGTCATTCATTGGAAGTCCTTCTGAAAGAAGAGTCATTGTCCATTGATGCAACCAGGCATTGCAAAAATTACTGGTGTGGCTACGCTCACAACAGAAAAAAAAAAAAGGGTTTACAAAGTAAACAATCAAAGCTCACAACAATAACACAACTTGCTACTCTCTGAAACAGGAACCATTACAAATATCATTTCTCAGAAATGGCAGTAATCTTTTTCTGCAACTCCGGCTTGTTTGCTCCAACAAGCTTGTCAATTTGTTGCCCATCTTTAAGAAAGAAGAAAGTAGGAGTGGCTTTAATATCCCATGATGTGCTGAAATCCTGCATCACACAATCCATTTGTATTTTTCGCCAATCAATTTGGATACTTCCCAACAAAAACATGAATGATACTAAAAAAAATACTAAAAAGTCAGTGTTCATTTGTCTATTTATAAATTGATCTCTTAGCTACATAAGGAGACCCATTGACCTGACACTCCCCATCATAAAAACCTTAATTTCCTTTTACGATGGTGGATATCACATATCAAACCGGTCTGGGCCCTAGGGAAGATCCTATTTATTTATTTATATGTTTGCTAGAGTGCACAACTTCAATTCATATATGTCAAGCCAAATTTGTTTTTCATGCAAGGGAACAAAGCTCTTGTAGCAGCAAGTTCCACTAACAGTACTAAGGTATAGACATACCACTCCACTAAATTGATGTCTCAATTATATATATATATATATATATATATGCACAAAATAAATAAATAAAACACGAATACACGAACACCTTTTGGAGGGAGGGGGCAGATAGACATTACAAAACACTATTCGGTACTTACAGTTAGCTCATCAACATCTATCAACAAGAACATCATAGAAGGGTATTTTTCTGAGAGCTCGCAATAGAATGGTGCAAGCCCTCGACAAGGTCCACACCATGCTGCACTGAAGTTTGCAACCACCTAGTAAATCATTGGGCTTCAAACATTAGATAAATCAAGCATTCATAATGATTGCGTATAAAATGTATTGCATATAACACAGATGAGTGAACTAAGAGCAAGTAGTCTTTTCAGGCAAAGGCAAATGAAAGGAGAAAGGGATCCATAAAGCTGCACGCATTATAAAAAAGGACTCATAATGATATTTTCATGCTTATGAAGCCACCTCATCAATGTAAACCAAAAAGTAAATGCAAATCCACAATGCAGACAAATTACAGTGTTAACGAAATTTTTGCAAAGCCTCATCCAACTTAAAACTCAATATAAGACGGGCAGAAGAAAATAATCACAGAAAATTTGTATCGACCTGGTAAATAATGTTTCCAGTTATTATGTTTAACTCAAATAAAAATATCACACAGCTTTTCTAACTAAGGTTTAGTAATTGTTGATGAGTTCTCTTGAGGAGGCATTCATGATGAACAATGCAGCATCATAGATGTAGGCATGTAGCTATTCACACATAGAATTTTCATGGGTGAGATCATAACATAACTATCCCCAAAGCATATAGAAATTAACATGTAACAAATGAGATAACATCACTCATAAAACAAAGGGACGTTTGCAAAAAGATGGCAAAATTCCTCTACCAAAGCTACCACTGCCCAGTTATCTTTCCTGAGTAGAAAGCGATAAGAAACTTACAATCTTGCCATCTCTTTTTGCTTCAGACAACTTCTGATCCCAATCCTCTTTGGAGGTAACAGGGTGCACATTTCCACCAAGAAACTCAACATTCTCTTCTAAATCAGCTCGACCAGACTTAGCCTACAAGTATCACAGGAATCATAAATTCTCTTCATACAACTTTAACAAGGCAGAAATGAAGACACATGAGGTTTGCACAATAAGTGTTGAAACAAAAAAAGTAGAGACAATCGTTATCTTTGTTAGTTAAAAGAACACGTAATTAACAAAAGCACTACCATTTATCTCATCGGTGTTCTGAATAGCATTCTTAGAGTGCACCCCATTCCCCAAGGCAAGACAGAAGTATCTTGAGACACACTCTTTAAGGCATTAGAATTGTCACTAATGTGAAATACTTGTTTTCTTTTCTATAAATAAATGTTAAATTGAACTTTTACAATACATAAAAGACAGTGAGCCAACAAAGAGGTCTAGAAAATCGGTTCCCCTAACAAACTACAAAATATATCCATACACTAAACACCTGAATAAAATAAAATTAAAAAAAATCAATTTATGGTCTATTATTAGCATGGACAGATTACAACAAACAGTATAACACAAAAGGAACAAAATCGTAGCTACATAAGAACATATACTGATTCAGTTTCCAAGAAACAGTAGGAGCTCCACTATTCTTCTTCACAGAGTTCTTCTTGCATTTTTAATTTTTTTATTCAAAGCTATGGAATAGCCCTCAACTCTTCATTGCACCTTTAGCTCACACGTCCAATAATGGAAGTAAAATATCAGCAAACTTTAATTTTAAAACGTTTCAGAATTTTGTAGGTCCTTTAATTAAAGATTCATTACATTTCGGCCAGCAAAGTTCTCTCATCAGATATTCAAATCTCAAAAGATTAAAAAATATCCTGATCTTGGGGTAGTACAGTTAATAAAATTATCAAATTACATTCACTAATAGAAAAAGAACTAAAATAATAAAGGCAAGAAAGGCAAGAAAAGGGACAAAAAGATAACAAAAACAATAACTCTTAGGTAAGAAAGAAGGAAAGAGATGTTACAAGAGCAGTAACACTGGCTATAAACTAATTCCCATATGCTAAAAGCAGTTCAAGACGCAGCAATTGAAATGTGCTAAAAGCACTTACCTTACTGAAGCATTGTCCCATATTTTTCTAAATTGCAAAAATGCCAGCTGCAGCAATGTATCAGCACACTGAAAGTTATAAAGACATCAAAGTCCAGAAATCACAGACACAACCCATGGCCAAAAACAATTTAACCATTGATTCATTTACAGTAACCAATCACAAAGCAATTAGATTAAATCCTTCTACATCCATATCCACAATAAACTTCTAAAAGCATAATAGCTCTTGTTTGGCCAAAGAGTCTGTTGATAGAATTAAAAAATTTATGTATATATATTATGAACACAAGTAGACCCAAAGAAAAGGGTTGTTAAGGTTAAAAAAAAGTAACCCTCGTTAACAAGAAGTCATCATCGACAACAACAAATGAAATCTAAGTGTCCATTTAGCAGTCCTAATATTCTACTGTTCTAATTAAATTGTTATATGATCCTAAAGAAGGAAATGATGGGGATATCAACTTTGCCAACTCATCAAAGATCAACCCCCCAAGCTTTGGTTAATTAGCATTTACAATTTTGACAGCTTTCTCTAACAAAAATTAATAAAAATTCCATCTTTAGTTTTAGAAAGTCATAGTAGATCCTCGATTCCAAGCCCAGAAATTATGAATATCCAAAAACCAGCTCTCAAACCTTTGCCATAAAGCTAAGGCAAATATACAGAAATGAAAACCCTTATTCAATTGAGCAAAAATAATCAAATACAACAACAATTCCAACATAATACTGAGATACAGACAGCTTTTTCACATAACTAATAAAAAATTTAAGCTTTAATTCTTTAAACCGAAAATTTTTTTTTTTCCTTTTCGCTTATAACAAAAACAAAAAAAAAAAAAAAGAAGAAGGAAAAGGTAAAAAAAAAAAAGTAATAATCGGAAAGTCCTCTATAAATGGCAACAAAGTGATAGAAAAGCAAATTAGGGATGTAAATCGAAGAAAATTAATAAAACGACACATAGAAGAAAGAACAAAGCAGCGGATAATTTACCTGAAAAGATAAGCGCGCAATCCCCGATTAGATGCTTTAATCAATGTAACATTTGCACTTTGGAACCAGGAATTAAAAAAACCTAACCAAAATGATGTTTTTGAAATTTCTGAAAAGACCAATAAGCTAAAAACAAACACAAGAAATCAAATAATCAGAACACAAGTCAAGCCTTTTCTAAAAAATAATAATAATAAATTAGACTCAAGCGTCAAACGACCTATGCCGTGACCGTTTAATCATTACCTTTGATACGCAAATTACTTATATGCCCCCATGTTTCACCGTTTCGATTTGTGAACAGCCTTATTTCATCGACTTTGGATTACTAAAAATTAAATTTAACCCGATAATTAACATATTATTAAAATTATCATTTAAAAATTATGAATTTAGTGTATAATATCTTTTTTAATTAGATAAACATTAAGGTAAAAAAAATCAAATTAAAAATTTTACAAATAAATCTAACCATTTTCTTGTTATTGTCTCTTTTTTTAAGATACCAACCAACGAGAAAAAATATCAACGAACAATTACACGTATAAATATATATTTATTTTATTTAAATCATATTATGTAATTATGTTATTAAAAAATCAATTATTAATTAATCACCATTCACCAAAACAATGTTATTGTTATTACAAGAAAAATCATGTTGTACTCTTATTGTAGCATATAAATTCTTGGGTCAAACACCCGTTTAAAATAAAAACTAACTATTTGTTTCTCGAGCAAGGAATGAGGATCTATTGCTAAAAGACCAGACACTACAAAGGTGGTCTGATCAAACCAAAGAGTGAAACTTTGGTTGCTTCACAATTTCCCCCTGAATGTTGTCCATTTTCATTCTGGCATTAAATTTTTTGGACCAAATGTATTTGATTTAACAAGAAATGCTTCATATAGCTATAAAATGGGAACACAAGGCATATCTCTTATAACAATCGCCCCATCTTGCATAATGTTCAATACTGAAAATCGAGTTAAGCACTTTAGGGCTAGAGACTCTGATGATACATTATTGATGCTACTTCAACGTTGAACAAAACAAGGGCTTCACACAAGCTACAGAGTGCACAATACAAATGTCTGCATCATTCTATTCTCAGATATCCAAAGCATAAGCACAATGACAAGTTCCTTTAGGGACACACAAAAGGGTTAACACATTTGACAACATGCAAAAGCCAATAGGGTATTACATGCTAACCACCATCATCCCATGGCATACTTCTGGGTCCAGCTACGTGCAGTAGCTTCGTACTTGGCTCGATCAGTCTTATACATGTGAGCAATCTCCGGAACAAGTGGATCATCAGGGTTTGGATCAGTCAGCAATGAGCAGATTGAGAGTAGAACCTGATTTGCACTTGAATTAGTTTTTCTACCATGTGTTCCCATTCTGAGACAAGCTCTATTGATTTTGACCTAAATTACTTAAAATTCCGATACACAGCAGTAGAAGTCGATGCAAGGAAGGATTAGTAATAATAATAATAATAATAATATAATGGTTATCATCAAAAGTGGCTTAAGTTGGTGCATATTCCCGATGAGATTTCATCAAGATCTTTCTGCTCTGATATTAATCACTCAATATCAGTAGTGATTGTTCAAATTTTGCATTCAAACTCAAAAAGTACAAGTCTAACCTATAACCAATAGGCAAGTCATTTTACCCACCTAAGACTGAAATCATTTAAAACTGCCATACTTATCTTCTCAGGGAAAAAGTAGTATAGCCATGCAAGGCAGACATGCATGCCATAGTCAGCCAAAACAGAGATTCTAGACATATATTGTAACAGAATTACCATATATTAGCTGTAGTAACGTCAAACCTTGGAAATGGTCAGTGCTGGGCTCCACTGTTCTTTTAGGATATCAAGACAAATGCTCCCATTGCTGTTGATGTTTGGATGGAAGACCTTGGTCCTGAATGCTACCTAAACAACAGAGCAGCATCATCCTCCAAAAGAGTACGTATCACTCAAAACAACCTTTTGCACACACCACAAAGGGGTATAAAAAATTGCAGGTGTAGTAATTACCTTGGGAGGCTTGAAAGGATAATCCGGAGGAAAATGAATAGTAACTAAAAATACACCTCCTGCATAAGGGCTATCAGAGGGGCCCATGATTGTTGCTTGCCAATGAAACATGTCTTCAGCTACAGGACCTATTACAAACAATGCAAGCAACCAATAGTTACTAAATAACATCCATGGCTGCACATGACCATTATCATTTTTCCTATTGTTGACCAAATGGAAAGGAAATGCATACTCACAAACTTATACATGTCTATGGACGGATACTAATAAGTGAATGGCAATGAATAATAATCCACAAAAACCCCAAAAAGTCTAACCTTTGAGACGGAGAGAGCTTAAATACACTAAAGAAATATTTTACCATGATGGTTTGATCCTTATCAAACTGCATCTAATGCTAATCACACGTATAGAAAATCATATATATATATATAAAAAAAAAAAAAACTGAAAAGCTTTCCAATCGCATCAAAATCAGGTTGGATGAAGAGGAGGTTAGAGACATAAACACCAAATGAAAGCTTAGATCTAAAGAATGGAACTCTGAAACTTTGTAAACTAATACTTTTGGAGTTTGGACCCATGTCTATGATAAAAAAGTTTCAGCGATAAGCACTCAGAATGGATAAAGGCAAAGTAAATTTTAGTTAGGATATATCTATATATAACTATACATATAATCTTGTTTGGAATTTAATCGATTCATATGCTAACAACAACGCAGTTAAAAACAATGAAAAGGTAGTCTGACCATACATAAACCATGACGCACATCAAATGAAATCAGAGCAAAGAAAGATAGCCAAACTGTTATAAATAAAGGATCAAAGATAATATTATTATGAGGGTAAAAAATTAATGCATATCTAGAACATGAAAATTGGACCTGCACTGCAAGAAGTGGGTGGATCCTTCTGCAAATCCTTGAGTTCCTTCAAAATCCGCTTTGAAGCCATAACGCTTGAACAGATAACAAGAATCCTAACTGGACTGGAGCCTAAGGAAAAAATCACAAAAAGCCATCTCATAAATGAAAATATATGGCATACACACGGAAAACAAACCTTATGAAAGTAGCGAAAAGGAAAGAAAGGAACAAAGTAAACAGAAAAATACCCAAAACCAGAAAAGGAAAGAAAGAAATTGGGGTTAGAGTTGAGACGGATACAGCGGATAAAAGAGAGTAAAAAGGGTTTCAAGTTTCAAACTTTGAAACAGATCGCTCTCTTCCTCTACCCTACAACCGCTTCTTCTCCACCCGCAATCCCTTGATTTTTCACTCACGAAAACAGTCGGACAAAAAGAGAGAGAGAAGTAATTTTTGGGGCTTCCAACCTTCTTATACACATGACATATCTGAGTCTGACATGTCCCACTCACGAGTTAATCTCGGTTTCAAACATAATTTTTTTTATTTATTGAGAAAATATATTTCTTCATTTTAATTTCAGCTGTATAAATATAATAATAATAATAATAATAATATGATGAGACATTTATTGAGAATTTTTAAATTTTAAAAACAAAATTAATAAGAAGATAAATATTTTTAAAGATGTATTTAAAAAATAATTAAAATAAATAAAACATGTTTGACAAAAAATAAAATACGTATAATTTCTTTTCCTCATTTATGAAAATAAATTTGAAAAATAAACTAAATAATCAATTTTATTCCGTGAATATTCTTCATTAAAATTAAACAAAAAAAAAATTTGCAGGTAAGAATATAATCCTATTATTTGAATAAATAAATCATGCATTAATTATCTAATCAAATCTCCATTCTTGTAATTACTATTTGTAAATAAATATGGACATCACATATTATTTCTAAATATGGAAAGAGGTGAGACAAAAAGTCACGAAAGCATTAAACGAGTAAAGACAAAAGGAATTCGTCCCTGTTGGATTTCTGTCATCCTTTTCTTTGATAATTCGTAATTAATCGTTTTTTAAATAAATTAAAACTGGTGTCACCCAACATGCTTAATTTGTCATAGTTTTACAGGCAATTTTGCAAGTGACAATCCAACACTTACAAAATGAAAATGAATCTTACATACAAAGGAGGTTAGATTGATGTTATTATGGGAGGAAATAAGCAAAATTATCTTGTTAAATTTTGTTTAAACGAGAAAATGTTTGTTCTTTTTCCTTCTTTCTTTCAAATGTATTATGATATTTCCCGTCTTTTCTTTTGTATTTAGTTTTGTAGCTTAAGCATTTGTGTTATACAGGCTACTTTAGAAGAGACAATCAAGCAGTTAAGAAATGAATTTGATGGACTGCTTTACCTTTTCTATCTGCTGTTGTCAGACCAAAAATTCCTGTAGTAGTTTAAACTTCTCTCTTACTGAATCACATTGTAACCCTCTGACATCTTACAGCCTTCTTTAGAGGTGACAACCCAACAATTGCAATATGAAAATGAATCACATTTGCTGAAAGCAGTAACATACTAAAGTTTTCTTCTTTTTTTTTGGTTACAACATACTAAAGTTAATGTGTATTTTCATATGCACGTATTTGTGAGGTAGAGGGCTAATATTTTCCTGACTTTTTTTCTGATGTGGAAATTAAAACAATTCTTGGCAGGTGGTCGACTTGGAAGAATCCAGGAGTAAGCTTTCATAAGAAAATCAGCAGCTCACACAAAATGTAACAGCCCTGCAGTTCTATATTCAAAACCTTGGGAGGAACATGACCTCTGGTTGTTCATCAGATGAAGTTAAAAAGGTTTGCTTCCTTTAGCTGCAGTTTTAACTCCCCTTTTCTCTAGTGTCTGGCCTATTCTGTTTCTGGTTGAACCAAATTTGCTAGTTTCACCATAATTAACGATTCATGAGATATATTTAGATTTGCCTCCTTGTTTGTTTGCTATAGGGGGGTTTCTCTGCCAAAAGTTGGTTTGAATTTTGGTGTATTGAAGTTATTCAGAATATATTCAAACAAGTGAACAATTAATTACTTATGGTCTACTTAGTAATTAAAGGTTATAACGTACAGCATTTATGTCTCTGAAGAAATTTAGGAAGAGAGAACAATGTAGTTGACTAGTTTTCTCCAATGTAGCAAGCATCTGGCCATGAGGACCTGAACTCTCAGATTGAAGCATCAAGTGCTCTTGTCAACAAACTGATCATGGAGAATGCAGTGCTAGTTGAGAAGGTGCCTTTTGTCCTGCAACACATTATAATTTATTTTTGCTACTATTCTTTTTAAAGCCAATGTACAAGGACTTTTTCATGTTGTGAATTTGCCTTACTCTGTGGCAGGTGAATGAGTTGTATGTTAAGCTTGAGCTACAAAGTATGGCAGCAGGACATTCTACAGTCAGTGAAATGTCCGATTCTCTACCTAAATCCATTGAGAATGGTTCTATATTGGCTCCAAAGTTGGATTCTCTAGAAGCTTTTCCAATTAACAATGACCAAATTGATGGTGAGAATGTGGATGAGCAACCTGCCGCCCCTCTTCCACTCTTTGTAGAAGCTGGGGACTCTGGAGAAATTGTGCAAATTCCTCTGGATGATGCTGATCTAAGGGATTTGGAGTCCCAGGCTACTGACAGTGAAGACAATGCTGTGCCACTCACAGATGCTCCCCTGATTGATGCTCCATTCCGGTTAATATCATTTGTCGCTAAATATGTTAGTAGTGCTGACATGGTTAGCAATACTTTATGCTCAGAGTCTTAGCTTAGATGCAATTTTCATTTACTATTGATTATTATTATTTGGAATAGACATGGTATACTTTTGAACTAGATATAGTTGGCCAAATTGGGCTTTCTACATCGTTTTTGTAATGTATATGCCAACAGGGAAATACTAATTTTATGTTTATTATATGTTGTGGACAACTGTCATCCTTGTTGCTGTTGTTCACACCATGTGCAATATTTCTGATGGGATAGTTAACCCATGGGACATGCAATGATCTGGCATGTAACAAAACATGTTGGCTTTAATTGTGACAACGGATGCTATTATTCCACTGATTTTCCTAACACTATCTATAATTTTGACCCTTTTTCTTTCCCACAGTTTTGGATTAATCTAGATAGGGGAGAAAGAGGGCAGTAGACACATCTTGTTATGCTAAAATCCCAAAAGAATTTGACGGTTAGAACAACATAGATGGAGACCTTACAACATGCAACTTTAATCCTCACTGTTGTTCCTTACATCTGAATTCATAACAACGACAGCATGGCTGCATTATTCATGGGGTTTGAGTATTTGAGCCCGATTTGTTGTCATCTGATGAGGGCCGATTTTCAGAATCAGATGGCCGAATTTCTTCAATCATCCTAGTTACTTCCTCGATTGTAGGCCTCATGTCCGGCAATCTTGCCACACATGTCATTGCTATCTGAAGCATCTGCACCAGCTCTTCTTCAACATTTTGATATTTCATTAGCTCTACATCAAACACTTCAGCAGTCCATTCCTCTCTAACAACAGACTGAACCCACCTTGGAAGGTCGACCACATCTTCATGCCCTGATGATTGGACTGGTGCTTTGCCTGTCAACATCTCTAGGAGAAGTACACCAAAGCTGTAGACATCAGACTTTTGAGTAAATTTTCGTGTTTCAATCACTTCAGGAGCTCGGTATCCTGCGCTTCTAGATGTAACGGTTGGGAAACTCATTAAAGAAGTCAATCCAAAATCAGAAATGCAGCCATGCAAGTCTTCTGTGAGGAGGACATTGGAGGACTTGATGTTGCCATGGATGAATTTTCCACCTCCAGAAGAATGGATATGGGCAATGCCCTTTGCTGCTCCCAGGGAAATCTTTACCCTTGAATCCCAGTCTGGCAGAGTTCGTCCACTTTCCCTGCTTCCTGTAATGAAATTACAAACAAAGGGCTTTGAAAAGGGATTATCCTTTGGAATTATAGTCGGAGCATCAAAATTTTGGCAGTAGACAACTGCTTAATTTTCTCCATTTGATCTAGGGTACAGAGGTTAAAAAATCATTCAAAAACTTTTAGTAGTAAATTATTCCATAAATCACATCAATAATTGATCTTCAAACATGATTGTAATGTATAATTCAGGACATAAAATGAAAAAGGAAAGAAGATGATCAGATAAATGTACCGTGCAATAATGAGGAAAAACTGCCAGCTGCTTTGTAGTCATAAACCAGCAGCTTCTCATCCTTGGAATAGTAATAAGCACGAAGGGACACAAGATTTGGGTGCTGACCAAGCCTTCCCACAATATCCATTTGTTGTTCAAATTCTCTTTTCCCTGCAACTACGTCTTTCAACCTCTTCACAACCACTGTTGTTCCATCCTCCAAGATAGCCTTATAGGTTGTACCATGACTCCCTTTTCCTAGCACTTCAGCAGAAGCTCTCAACAAATCCTCAAGATCAAAATTATAAGAACAACCTTCAAAGAAAACCAACTTGTTCTTCTCAGCCTCTTGCACCCCACTCCCAAAATCCTCCTTAGGTTTCTCACTCCTTCCACCTTTTCCTTTTGATGTAAGAGAACCTTGACCATCCTTTTTCTTTAAACAGCAAAGTACAAGCATAAGCAACGAGAAAAACACTAGTGCTGAACCCCCAACTGCTATGGCAATTATAGCACCTCTACTTAATTTCTTATGGGAGGCCCCTCTCGGATTTTCTGACACTGTTGGAGGTAAGTAAGTGGGGGGAGGCGAAGGTGAAGGGCTGATTGTAAGACACTGGTTCAGTGGAGGCCCACATATAGAGTTCCCTATGAAAGAAGAAGCAGGGAACTTCTGGAGGGAAGATGGTACTGATCCATTTAAATGGTTATAGCTCAAATTCAAAAGCCTAAGCCTTGGAAGATTGAAATTGGGGATAAGTCCAGTGAGGGAGTTATTCTGGAGGTTTAAACCAGTCAGGTTTGTTAAATTTTGAATTGTGGTTGGAATGCTGCCTGTGAAGAAGTTGAAGGAGAGATCCAGAAAATCCAGATTGGGAGGGAGAGAGGAAGGAATGTCACCTGAAAAGTTGTTATGCTGAAGGTATACGTAACGAAGAGAGGGAAGGGAGAGTACATCAGATGGAATGTTCCCACTGAGACCATTGCATCGGAGGCTGAGGATCATGAGAGCATCCAGCTTTCCAAGTGTGTTGGCTGGAATTGTACCATACAGTCCAACACCAGGAAGGTGGACAGCTAGCACACGGGATCCATCCTTGGTGCAATTGATGCCAACCCATGAAGTGCATGGCGGGGTAGCAGGACTCCAGTTAAGTTTCCGCCCATGAGGAACTAAGGCAGAAAACTGTAGGAGGGCTTGCTTATCTGAGTTTAGGTCAGCAACTGTTTCTGAAATGCAACACAGAAACAGGAAGGCAATTGAAGCAAAATAGGATGGCAGCTTCATCTCAGCAGTCCTCATTCCCCTGGCAAAGCAATGTAATTTTAAAACATGTGTTTTCCTTCCTCAAACCAGGCAAATAATAACAGAAGAGAAAAGTTCTCTTATGTAACAGGCATTATTGGTGAGACAAAGAAGTAACTCCATGATCAAAACATTTAAATCCATCTAACAAAATTTACATCATGCAAATAGTTAAGAGATAAGTTCAGCCTAAGCTTTCTCTTTTCTTCTCAGCCTAAAGCTTTCTTACCAGTAATAATGATTTATTTCCTTTCTTTTCTTTTTCCCATGAAGGACAAAAGGTTAAAAATTTTCAAAGAGCATAATTAAAGAAGAAAAAGGTTTACTATGTTGACTGATGATAAAATTGGAACAAAGATTAAAAACTTATAAGTATCACTATTAACTAAAGTCAAGTCATCACCAAAATGGGTTCAAAAGCATAATCCAACAAAGTGAAAGCAATGAAGTAAAGAAAGCAATGCGAAATCTTAAAAGAATAGCATTTTCAGCTTTAAAAATTTTCTCCATCATAGTCAAAGCAGTCAATACTTAAGCGAAAAGGAATTATAAGAACAATTGAACAAATATAATGTTTATAAAATTAAAAACTTCAAATAAATATATGAAAAACTACATACTATAAAAACATGCACAACACAACACAAAAATCAAAGAAAAAACATAACAACAGAACATGAGATAAAAACATTGGTTTGTCCAAAGTTTTTTTTTTTTTAATTTTTTTCACCCAAATAGGCAAAAAACAATGACAAGATACTTACTTTTAATTCATCAGAGGTTATAAAGTCAAGCTTTTGGAATGTGGAGCCATAAACATAACAGCTAGTTACAAGGAAGGAGATGACAGCAGTTAATCAAGGTTTTGTTGCTTCGAGGCGTTTGCTTTATTTGACCCTCAAACATAATTAGTATTTCAATCAAACACGACTACTTTAAACAGAGAATTAGAATATGTTTTCCTTTAAGAAAATTTATTTATAAACATGAAAAGTTTGCTCTTTATTTTGTGAAACGAATTCTACCATTTTAGCAAACACCAAATTGTTCAAAAGTTTTCCATTTAAAAAAAAGCAAAAAAAAAAAAAAAAAAAAAAAAGAAACCAAAGTTCTTAATTTTCCCGAAAATCTGAAGATAAATAACATAATGTTGATACAATATTTAAGATTTAGCAATCCAAGTCCAAAGTTCAAACTCTAAAGAAAAAAAAACAGAGCAAAGCTAAAGAAAGAAACATATTAAAATGGCAAATAAATCAGAATTGAGTTGAATCTATGATTTTTTTCTACCGGAAGCAATTGCAGAATTCATTAGACAAATAAAAACCCATCACTGCATTTTGATTTTTTTTTTTTTTTTGAGGAACAAAACACATGGAATTCGAGTTAAAACAACCAAAATCCAAAAACCAGATGAAAAGAAACAAATAATAACGAGCATAAAGACAATGCAAAAGACAAGAGAAACAACCTTTACCAAGGATGGTGTAGGAAGCTGAGACAAAGGACGAGGCTCAGAAACGGAGAAGAGAAGAAGCTAAAATGGCAATTCTTGGTCTTGGATTCCTCCAACGGCATTTCTTCAACAATACGCTCACCAAAAAGAAAGACCAAAAAAGAAAAGAAACCAAAGTATAAATAAAAGGAGTTAAGTTGTGAGTGTTTTTAAGGTTTTGGAGGAGCCGACAGCCCAGGCTTCTTCGTTAAGCTAACGTCGGACCTTAAACTCCGAATTGCAGATCTCGAAGACTCTACGTTCCGTTGATGGTCTTAGATTCCAGCCATTGGACTGACAATATTGTTTGACCAAAAATTGAAATGCAAAAGCAAAACACAATTTGTAAATAACGACGTTACCATGGTGAGTAGAGTAGGTTGACTGGACTCACTACTCGGTACCCATTCACTTTTTCGTTTTTTTTTTTTTTTTCTCAGTTAGTATTAACTAATCCTGTCCATTAGTGAATTCATGAGAGGACCTACGAGGGAGAATTATGTGACAGAAAAGATATGGTAAGACAATGATGATTTGTGGTTGGAGGAAACGGCTAAGGTTTAAAGTTTGATTCTAAGGTATTTAAGTTTGAATTTTATGATTTTTTTTGTTATTAAGTGATTTATAAATTTTAAAAATTTTAAAAAAATTAATAAATTTTTTTGTAAATTAACCATTTCTTCTAATCTTAAAGATGAACTTAAATTTAATGGACAAAAAAAAAAGAAAAAAGACAATGATGATTCTTTTTTTTTTTTTTTTTTCATGGTGAACCCTTCTCCACCGTTACGAAAGTTGTCCAACTCCAGCTGTGAGTCAGGTTTCGCTTGGAAGACACAAATGTTTCAAGCTTCCTCAATATTTGCTAAAGTAGCGCAATTTTTTTTGCTACTAATCATGTTATGGATTGATCAAACAAATTGTATTATTTTGCCTTTTCATTCAAAGTGATAGGTTATTCAATGGAGTGTAAATGTAATAATCTTTTTGCCTTAATCTTCCATTTTTCAGCGTACATTTTCATACCTATTTATGTTGAAATTCCTCATATATATATTTGATAAAAGAATTCTCATTCCTATTTGGTGGGTCCAAAATTTACATTTTTATACTATATAGTATATACTTGATTTTATCAGGTAATCTCCATTGAAGACATTAGGTTATGATCTTACAAGCTGTAGTTATGGGACAGTCCAACCCATTTAAGGAGGGACAAATGAACAGTTGGGCCAAACCGATGACTTATTTTGTTCATCTCTTGAAACAAGAAATTGCTACTTAAACATGCATTTTGGTGAAAAGTGATTGTTATGACAGATAAGTTCTTCTGATTCATGAATTTCTTGCCTACATTAGGTGGAAGATTGGCTTTGGATACCATACTACAATTACAAAAGGACAAAGTTGAAAGTGATTTCTATCTTCCCCTTCCTGCTGGCATGGCTACAATAAAGTCCAAAGGGTTTCGTTTCTCCAAAACCCAAAAGAAAAAAGAAAGATGCAAAGCTCAAATCATCCTTTGAAATGATTTTCCAATCCAATAGATAGAAGAATCCATTGGATTAGTTTATCAAATGGACGAAGGGAAGTAATAATTGAAGCACATGAAGGTGGGGTTGTTCTCAAAGTTCAACTATTAGTATTATTATTATAATCATAAAGGAAAATATTTGACTTACACTGGTGGATTAGCCTCCACTCAATTCTTTATAAGATAATGAGGAATACCCTGTTAAGGTTTAGTTTGCTTATTATTATATTCTAAAGTCTCCAGCTTAACATATACTTTATTAATTATTTAAGCGTTTGGTAAAATTTGAAGATTCTGGCCTTTTTTTGTGGCCTTTGACATATATAGAAACTTCCTCAAATACTGCAAGTTATTAATATGCATCTCTGCCTGGAATTGACATAGGATTCTTCAGACTTTCATACCATACGCAGCAGGAAATTCCATGGTTTTGGTCTAATAATGCACTTAATTTCCCTCGGTTGGTTGGCAAGAAAATTCTTGTTCCTAAAGGTGCTGTCAAAGGCAAGAAGGTAAAGAGACGTTTTGACATTCATTTTATAACCACCTCCATCAGTGTTAGTTGAGTAGATTATTAGGATATATCAAATAATAAATGGAAAATGCAAAGGCCATTTTGACATTTTTAAAGCCTCGTGTTCTCTTCCCACCTGCTTCAAGTTAGGTTAGTCAATTTTTTTTTTTTTATTTCTGATTTTGACATTATCAAAAGCCTGGTGTTCTCTTCCCACCTGCTTAAAGTTAGGTTAATCATTTTTTTTTAATTTATTTCTGATCTTTTATAGATAGGATATTTACGGTGACTTACTTCAACTTAAAAAATATTATTTATTTTGATTTAAAAATTTTATTATTTTATCATATAAAAAATATTACATAAGTTTTAAATTTAAATTTTGACATATATATTATGTCCTATTTATATATTATTTTAATATAAAATAAAAATATTATAATTTTTTATTTTTAAAATTTGATGTCTTAATCAAATTAAATCTAATTACAAAATCAAAATATTTTTATCATATAATATTTAATAACTCTTACGATGTAACATTTAATTTTTATTGATTAATTTTTATTTTGATATCATTTATAAAAATTTGTATTTAACTTATAAAATATTATCTATTTTAATTTAAAAATCTTATAATTTTATCTTATAAAAAATATTTCGAAAATTTTGAATTTAAATTTTATATATATTATATTATATTTACATATTTTTTTAACACATGAGATCGGAGGCGATATAATATGGCTAGCCTGACATGCTTCAGATGCATCTGAATCATTTGCTCTTATCCCCAGGACTATGCCGTTCTTTTCTTCTGATTGAAACAATTATGCTATCATTTTCCTCCTAATCCATTTTCGTTGACTTGTTTATGAAGTATAAAAATTCTTTCATTTTTAAGTCCTGATAAGTGGAATTATTCTGGTTTGATTTGGGAAAGGATCCACTGTTGTGTAGCCTGGGCCACAATAAGTTTACACAACAGTGGATCCTTTCCCAAATCAAACCAGCTGATAACACGACATGGCTGGAGAGGAGGAACACAGTGAGTCGCCAGTGGCCCAATGGTCCTGAATCCTGATAGCATTATATTTAAAGTTGTTAATATCGGTTAATATTTTAATTTTTTTTAAAAAAATGGTATAGAATTTATACTAGTGATTTTGATATATTATTTCAGATTTTTAGGTTTAGTATAAAAATATTTATAAATATATATATGATTTTATCAATTAAAAAAATAAATATTTAATATCTTTAAAAATCAAATAACTAAATTTAAAAGTATAAAAATAATATCATAAATTTTTTATAATATTTTTAAATACTTAATCTGATCATATAATATTTAAATAATTTATTTTATACAAATATTAAGATAAAAGCAAATAAATTAAAAAAATTAATCTTGACTCTATAATTGTCAAACTTTAAAAAAGAAATATAATTACTTTATTGAAAGAGATTAAAATACTTATATATTTTAGTTTGAAAAAATAAAGTATAAAAAAAAGTTATAATTAAAAATAAAAAATTTAACTTTTAAAGATTATTTTGTCAATTTTATTTTTATTAAATTAAAAATAATCAAATAACAAAAAATAAATTAAAAATTAAAAAATATGTTTCACGTTTTCATACCTACCAAAATAAATTAATTCATAAAAATTCATTATATCAACCGAAATCAATAAAAACAACCAATATTATCCGATAGCAAATCGGATACAAAAAAATTTTTTTGATATATAATATTTTGGCATAACTTAAATGTACCAATCAATACAATTAATATCGAAATGAAATTAACAATTATGATTATCTTCCCTTTGGTCAATAATCTCATGGGAATTTCAAGGTTCGCTTTAGCTTGCAAACTTATCCTGTCTCAATTTCAATGGATAACCTTTAGCTGTGTAAGGCTCCAATTGCCTGGATGACAAAAAGAAGTAGGTCTTAGGACAAAATTCCGTTTCACTCTTTACGGGCAAACAGATGAACAACAGAAGACCAATTAAAGATCAAATTTTCTTTTGCAGAAAAACTTGCTGCCTTCTTCACTCATTTTCAGTGGTAAAAGCTGTCATATTACATTCTTGCAAAGTAACCAAATAATTACAAGAGAGCAAATTATAAAAGAAAAAATAAATAAATATGAATTAGGAAGAAGAAATTAAAGCCACTTCTTAGATGTTATAATAGCCCAAAAGGTTCAGGCAGAGGCTCAAATCCATTATCAAAGATGGATCCTTGATCGGATTTATCGTCAATACTATGCAGCCAGTTCGTATTCTTCAAGTCCTCTTTCAGCAATATTGCATCATAACGAGAACTTTCATAGATGTCCACCTCACTTAATTTGGCAGAGTATCTCTCATCATGGGAATCACTTCCATTCTCTGCAGGTCTGCTAATACTATTTCCATTCTTAGAGAAGTCTCCATTTTTCAAGCTACCAGGGCGTCCATTGCTATTGACAGAATCTGAAGCACTTAAGGAATGAAGAGATGGGGTTTTGGCAGTGGAAGATCGGATGCTTTGCGGAAAAAGGGTTGTGCTTGAAAGGGAACGAATGCTCCCTGAGCCATTTCTTATGTCCTGCATCAGAGATTATAAATGGTGTTAGGATTGTCGTGCATGATAGACTATATACATCCCAGGCAAGTTGGAACATTTGTTTCTTAGCAACCTAACATAATGCAGTCTCTTACTAGTGCAGAAGCATTTATGGAAAATATCACAACCAATTCCAACTGTTAAACATGCCATTGCAACTCCAAGCTCTTATTCAGAAATCCAAGTTAACACTTTGAGACCCTGACAATTTCGGCTAAAATTTTTGGATCATGGTTATGTTCTATTCATGATGATAATAGAATATAAAAATATCTGAGTTGAGGAAGCAATTATAATGATGGCGCTGGTGGAAACCAACAATTATAATCTACTTCAATGACACTATTCCCACCCCCTAGCAACATTTAAAGTACTTAGCACATGATCAAGAAAAAGAAAAGGTTTTAAAACACATAAAATGGCTAACTTTTGGAACAACTAGATTTCAATGAGAAGTTTTCAATAAAAAGTAGAAGGTAAGCATACCATATGCCTAATAGCCATATCCAGTGATTTTTTTGAAATAGTCCTCCCAAATCCCGTGCTATCTGCATTGGTTGTTAAGGACTTAACAGGTTTCCGCATAGCTAAATCTGAGACATGCGAAGTCTTTCGAGACTCATGTATGTCAGATGCTTGCCCATTGGAATGGGCACGAGTCCTGCCAGGGGGTTCATTGAGTCTTCCCCTAGTGACAATTGGTGATGAATGTCTTCTTGGCATATTTACAGTGCTAGTAGTGTCCTGGTTTCCCTTCATGGTGACAGAACTACTAGGCCTAGACCTACCAGCAGAGATTGGCCTATCTGGCAAAGTTGTTCTAAGGTTTGGTGGTGCGTCAGGAGGAAAATCAGGAGGCACAACCGGCTGTTGTAGGGGGCGGACTCGTGGACCTGGGGACCTTGGTCGAGATGCTGCAGCTGCATTGCGACCATTTGAAACAATGCGACCAGCAGAAGGTGAAGCACCAGCTGCTGAAGCCAGAGAAGGAATTGGATTCCGACGTGTGGGAGTTGATGGACGAGAATTTGATTGATTAGCTGTTGAATTCAAGTTAGCAGGGATTTGTGGCCTACAAGTTGGAGTTGATGGCCTTGAACTTTGCGAGGATTGACTCTTGTCAATATAAGAGCTGGTGGGAGATGTACGGACTTTTGAAGGAGTAGAAGGCCGTGATATTGTTAAGCGGGCAGATGGGGTTGAAGGTCTTGCTGTAGATGGCGAGCGGGTAATAGGAGAGGATGGTCTAGTATAAGATGACACAGAAGCTGAGCTTGTATTGAGAATTGAAGTGCCCCTACACGAAGAAGAGAGAGAAGACCGAGTTACTGAACTGCTTCTAGTGGGTCTTGAGGAATGATTGCTTACAGATTGTGAAACTGAAAGCTGAAACAGAGAGATAACAGAGAAATTAGTCATTCATGGTTGCAAACTTCAAGTGGCTGAGGCACTGGCCAACCCAGAAGCTAGCTCAACAACAATCAAATTCCAACCAAAAAAGAGAGCAACCACATAGACATCAATCCCTAATTCTGCCAGAACTTGCAGAAAAATAAAAGTTAGGACAAAATGAGTTTTAAAAAAAAGAAGGACATGCATACCCTTGAAGCCTTTGTGGTTGAAACTGATCTAACTTTGGAATTGCTTCTTGGAGCTAGTGAAGTCAACTGAGATTCAGATCCCTCAGACGAAGGAAACAGCGGAGTTCCAGGAGGAGTTAGAAGCCTAATGACATTAGTAGTTATTATTAAAGAGAGAGACAAGGATTACCAAATGAGTTGAAATTCAAGTCTCAATCGAATAAGCACAGCGACACACTACCCATAAATGTTGTCAACCGGTTATTTGATCACGAAAGCAATCAAATTAAAACTTAGGCTCTAAATATTCAACTAAAAGTTTGTTTAGTATAACATAGTTATCATACAATTTAAAACTTCAGATTAACGAAAGACAAGAGATTAGAGTAATAATTATTAGTATTGTGGTTTACCAGTCATAGTCATGCTTTCCTCCATCGGTAGACGAAAGTAGATCATCAAGGCCATCCTCTCCCACTCCCACTTTTGCTGATCCAACTGATAATCTTCCCAGTTTTACTGATACCACAAAACAATATCAAAATCCAAGCTTCAAACTTATTAAAACTAAAGCGTTTTTCATGTCACTTCGGTCAACTTTCATTGCTGAAAACGACATCGTTCCCTTCTGATGTTATATCAAATAGAATTGAAAAACCGTCAATCATTTTCTAATTAAAAAAAAAAAAAAAGCTTTCTTTTGTTCCAAATAGAATTGAGAAGAAGCTTAGCCAACTGCCCCCCTTGAAACCGACAAACTAAATGTAATAATAAAAGTATGTAAATAAAGGAAAAGAAAAAAGAAAGGAGGCCCATGCAGAGAAGTGAATTGTCTGTACCATCGGGGGATTCATCGGAAGAGGCGACAGAGAGGCTGCGGCGGTTATTGGAAAAGAGATCCAAATTCTCGTCGGAATCCCTGGGGATCAATGCACTATTCAAACTTTGACCACGGCGGTGATGATGGGACGCCGACGAAATGTTGTTGATATTATTTCTCCTGCCACCCACTAGAGATTCCCTTAGATTCCTATTCATCATCTTGGCTTGTTTGGGTTCCAATTATTGCCTGCTCCCACTCCTATGCTATGCAGCTGCTCCCAACCCTAAATCCATCTCTCTTTCTTCTTTCTTTTTTTGTTAAAATGCAGCTTTCCTCGAACAGAAAGAGAGAGAGAGAGAGAGGCTGAGGAAGCTCGAGATCTACCGCAAAAGAGAAATGTTGGGAATGCAAAGCAAAGACATTTAGTCACCGCGCCGTCACTTTATCTGTCTCTTTTCTATTGTTTTTTAATCTAAATATACTTTTTAAGTTTAAGTCATATGTCGGAAAGAGAAGTGAAGTGGTGTTTAGATCTGCGCATTGCTAGCTGCTCTGTTTCTTCTCTTTAAGATCGGATCCGTGCTTCTGTTTACGTACACAGCTTTTGTTGTTTCATTAGATTTAATAATTCATATTTTTATACAATAAAAAATATTAAAATTCATATATTTATATTATATCTTATAAAAAATTATATATTATAATTTATATTAATATAAGAATATAAAATATATTTTTTATTTTATTAAATTTATATATAATTATTATTAAAATTTTAAATCATATAATTTTTATTTTATTTTATTTTATATTTCTATCATATTATCGTATTTTATATTATTAAAATTAATAATTATATTGTTTCTCTTATAAATAATAGTTGTAAATAAAATTATACGGAAATGCCAGATCTTGAGTTTATTCGGAGGCGACATGTGATTCTTTTCACCAAAATCAACCAACAAAAAAAGAAAAATCTGCGTCCACGTTTTACTCTACTCGGATTAATTACCCTAAAAATAATTTTACAAATTTTTTTTTTTTTGAGGTGGAAGCCTCGAAGGTTTGGAACAGGATCGATAGACAGGTAACGGGTCTTCATTCTTTATTATTATATATAAAAAAAGAGAGTTATTTCTTATAAATAGTTGCAAACAATATAATTTTGGTTTCAACTGGTTCAATAAGGGTATTATTTTTATATTTTTTATTACAATATATATTAAATTATATTATAATTCATATGATATACGAAATAATTTCATTTATTTAATATGAATATATATATATATATACATATTAGTTTTCTTTTAAAATTATATTTAAATTTTTAAAACTCATAACATATATAAAATTTATATATTGATTTGTCATTAAAAAATAATTTTTTAAAAAACAGTAAAAAAATTGTAATTTTCTTTTGGATATTTTTGTTTATAATAATATTTATACACCTATAAAATTATATTAAATAAAAATAAATTATGTTTTTTTCAAAAAAAAAATATATATTATTGAATGATAAATTAAATAATAAAAAAACATTAACACAATTTCACTTTAATAATATTGACTAAATTATTATACAAAATAAGAAAAATGTTAGAAAATATGTGAAAAAATATTATTTTTCATAAGAATGAAAGTGTAATAACAATAAAATATATCTTAAAAAAATTTATAAACAAAAAAATTGCAATAGTAATAGAATATACCTTAAAAAAAGTTATTAAAAAATAAAAAATTGATATATAATACATTACATTTGTTGTCTTAAATTTTTAGAAAAATTTTTTAGTGGCAATTAAGGTTAAATAGATAATTTTTAAATTAATTTTTAAAATTTTAAAATGGATGTAATAAGTGATAAAGATAATATAAAATTTTTTGCATTTATTTGAAATATAAATTTAATAATTAGAATTCAAATGAATATACTCATTTTGATAATCTTATTATTTAAATATTTAATATGAAAAATTTTAAAATTTTTAAAATCTTATATAAAATTGCTTGAATTTTTAATGTTTTACATAAATTTTTAAAAAGATAATTTTTTAAATCAAGAAAAAAAAAGATTGTTAAAAAATTTGGATAAACTTAATGTTCGTAATTTTTAAACATGTTTAAAATATTTTGATAATTAAATAATTTTTTAAATAAGGTTATTTGATAAACAACTAAAATTATTTATTAAAAACTAAAATCCATATTTCATATTTTTAATTTTAGAATATATATCTCTAAATTAATTTAATTTTCAATTATAATTTAAATAAATTTAAAATCATCTAATTTGTAATTAAAAAAACTATCTTATTTTTTTTAAAAAAAATTTATTTTATGTGTCATTTAAGAGAGTTATTCATATAAGCACTTATGTGACAAATTTATTTATATATGTTATTATATAATATATATATATATATATATATTAGATGTGGTACTTTTAAAATGTGTTATCAAAGCTTATGATACAAGATATATTAATAAAACCAAATTAAATTACAATATTTAATAAAAAAGGATTTTAAATGGATGAATTAAAGTTTCATCTTGAATAAATTCTATTGAATGTGTGCATATTGGTGTATTTATTCTATACAAATTATTATTCTAATTAAGATGCTTGTAATACCGTTATGTCATCTTGAGAATATTATTGAGTATATTATAGTGGATGAATTAAAATAATATCTTTAGTGGAGTATATTCTAAGTATATATACAATTACAAACTCATGTTCATAAGCCAGATCATCAGTCCGTGGACAAAGATGCTACCTTTTTTTTTTTTTCAAAATTACATATTTTTAAATCATTTAAACATAAAATATATTAAATTATATATAGTATTAAAATTTTATGATATTATAAATATTTTTTCTATTATATATTTGATAATTAACAGTGTAAGATATTAGTAACAATACATTTTAAATGAATAAATAAGAGTAAAGGATTCAAGTAATGATGTTTAAAGGTATATATTGATTAAAGTTAGTTAAAATAATATTTAAAGAAATTAATTACTGTCTAATGATACTAGTTAAAGCGATATTGAAGAAAAAAATATAACTAATGCATTGTATTTTATAATTTTATTAATATAATATATTAAACACAATTTTTTTTGAAAAATAATATTTAAATATTTTTTCTTAAACTGTTTTTTAAAAAATATTTTTATATTTAATTTATTATTTTCATTGAATTCAAGTAGAGACAAATACTAATTTTAATTTTAAAAAAAATTCTCCATAACAGTTAATATTTTCCCTTGTTTAAGAACATGATTTTATTTTGTACCCTTAATAAAAAATAAACAAGTAGTAGATGCAACTTATCTTAAAGCAAAACATGAAATTTTGTTTCAAAATCTTAATTTTTTTTATTGTTTTTGTGCCTTCTTTTTTAAGAAACTTTCATAAAACATTTTGAGAGACATTGCAACCGCTATTAGCCCCAATAATCTTTGTGGTAGGAATTATTTTGCAGTCAACAAAAATAAAAAGCATTAAATATGGTGAGTCCCCACCTTTTGAAAATGGGAGCTACTCTATTTAACAAATCTCACGTTGACCAAAAGAGGCAAAAGTTGGTTGGATCTGTGTCGCGTTTGGTGTGGTCAATTACGTATTAATTAATTAATCAATTAATTAATAAGTTTGGTTAGATTTTTTATTTTGCTTTCATTTTATTTATTTTTATTAAAAATAAAAAAATAAAAAGCAAAAATATGGGTGATAACGATATAGGTACCTCGATCTGTCCAGGATTTATTTATTTTTATTAATTAAAAAATAATAATAAAAGTTAAATAAAAAAATTATGAAAAATTCTTAAGTGGTTGGATTTGTTTTGAATTGTTTGTATAAAATTATTAAAGTTGGGATAAACTCAGAATTGAAATTTGAAAGGATCAAAACTCTTTTTTAATTTAGGGTTTTAAGACTTTGAACCCTATAAATACAGATGTACATCAAACTTCAACATAAGGTAAAAAAAAAAAAAAACAAAAACATAGATCACACAGATAGAAAAAACAAAAAAACAAATCAGAGACAAAAAATAGTGTTTAAGGAATTTACGGGTGTGAAATAGAAATTTTTGGTTTTTTTGAAAATTTTTTAGAAAATTTTCAATTTTCGATGAATTTTTTTGTGCCAATTGAATTTTTCAGAGCTGATTAAATTTTTTAACAGGTTTTCTAAAATCCAATTAAAGATTCCAACGAAAGTTGAATTTTTTAACGAACTTTTGGAGAACTAACTCAAATTCCCACGAGATTTTCAATAATCCAACAAAAATTCAACCAAAATTCATTCAGTTCTAGAAAGAGAGGGAGAGAAGAAGAAGGAAAAGAGATAGTGGATTAAAGAGAAATATGAAGAAAAAGTCTAGAACTAGCCTTTTATATCAGTCTCAAAATGACTTTGTTTTGGTTTTAAAAAGTTTCAAGATCCACATGTTTCCATTCAAGCTAACCCAACTCGAGCGCAACCCACTTCGTTGACCCGCGTCTTAATCGGGGCCCTCAGTCGAGCTAAGCTGAGTCGATTTCTCCGAAGCTGCATTCTGTGTCTGCAGTCAAGCCGAATTTCAACCGTCAAGCCGAGTCGTTTTGGTATTTTTTATTTTATTTATTTATTTTGTAAGTTTTTTTTTGCATAATTAAATTTAAAAAAATATTAAAAATAAAAAAATAAATTTTTTTAGAATAAATAATAATTATCAAATGATAAAATTTTTAAAAATTTCAAATAGTAAAATTTTATAAAATTACTATGTGAGAAATTTTACTGAATTTATCCCAAATGATGGAATAATTTAGATAAAGTTTCAAAAATAATAATTAATGTTTATTCTCAATAAAAAACCAAAAAAAATAAAAATTTAATAAAATTTTGGAAAAATACTAATTACCTAATGACGAAATTTTTAAAAATTTTAAATGGTAAATTCCTAAAAAATCTCTAGATAGAATTTCTCTAATTTTATCCTAAATGGTAAAATAATTTAAATGAAATTTCAATAAAAGTAATTATATTCTTTTTCAAATTTGATTGAAAATATTTTATAATTACCCAATGATGAAACTTTAAAAAATCTCTAGATGAGGAATTTCTTTAAATTTATCCCAAATGATGAAAGAATTTAAATGAAATTTCAAGAAAAATAATAATCATATTATTTTCTTTAAAAAAAAGGGAAATAAAAATAATTTCTAAATAGGCTCAAACGGTGGATAATTTAGAAATTCAAAAAGAAAATATTTTCAGTTTTATCCAAATTGTGGAATAATTGGATATATTTTCAATAAAAATAAACATAAAAAAATTAATTCTTTTTTTACGACGGAGCTTCTTTAAGAAATCAATAGGATTCTTAAATACTCTTGAATTAAGAAAATATTTTTAAAAATTTTACCAATTTGATGGAGAGTCTTAATAATTATTTTCAATATTCAATACATAAAGATTTAAACCATTAGAATCGAGACCTTAAGATAAATTTAAAATAAAACAGTATCATCTTGCGAATGGGCATGTAAGGGTGATATAATCTTTCACATATGTAACC